GAAAACACCAAAAAAGGTTTAGTGGAAAAATCTAAGATCGCTCATCATTGCTGGTCCGAAAATCATCGTATGAATTTTGAAGAGGCAAAAATTGTCCATAAGGAACCTCATTTTTTCAAACGTAAACTCATTGAAGCCTCATACATTAAATTAGCAGACCAACCAATCAGTCAGTCATCGGTTGAAATAAGGCCACTTTGGCTACCCATTTTGAACAAGGAACTAAAGGATAGGGAACTTAATTGTTCAATAAATAGGGAAATAACGAGTTCTCCTCAAAATTCGCACGTTATGTTAACTCGTAGTAAAACTCGTGATAGGAATAAACATAATTAACACCCATCTTGCGGCATCGTACATCGCTCCGCCATTCTGTTGGTTTTACTTTTCCAGGGACCGGAAGCCATTTCTGTTGTCTCCGTGTTTCCGATTGGTCAGCCATGTTGGTTCAGTTTCATTGGTGGAGTCATAGCGTACGGTGTTGGTAGTGTTCCATTGTGTGAGTTTTTTGTACGTAAACCTTTTATAGATTATAGTGTTTTGTGATTTGTTATTAATTGCATGTTGTATCATGACTTGACTGCTATACAGTGCATATTTTTTTACTACTACCCTCGGTAGTGTATTCCAACTTAGGTTGGGCGTTTGTGTATTGTTAGTTGTAATGTGTTAGTTAAGTTTTTTCACCTGAAGACGGGATCAGATTCCAGATCCCGAAACGTTGTGTATTGTTTTTTACTTTCGTGATGGAAAATGTCCGCAATAAACCTTTGAACAACATACATGATTTATTGTCATCTAGTCACAAGAACCTGTTAACCCTCCTCCAAACAGTGATAATAAACAATTTTACTTACCTCACCATGCTATTGTCAAAGTAGATTCCTCAACTACCAAGCTTCGCGTAGTATATGATGCAAGCGCACACAGCTTCTCAGGTGTCTGCCTTAACGATATTCTACATACCGGGCCAAAACTACATGATCTCAATGATATTCTGTTTAAGTTTAGACTATCCCCTATTGTTTTCTCATGTGACATCAAACAAATGTTTCGTCAAATAATGATCCACCCAGGTGATAGAAACGACCAAATAGTGTATTGGAGAGATGATAAAGACGACCCCCTTTCAGTTTACCGTTTAACTACGGTTGTGTTTGGATTCAACTGTTCACCCTACTTGGCACTAAGGACACTTCACCAACTTATCACTGATGAAGGCGCAAACTTCCCTCTGGCAGCTGAGGCTTTAAAGAAACAAGTATATGTTGATGATTAAATATTAGGTGCCAACAGCATAGAACAAGCTTTGGTACTAAGAAATGTTTCGAATTGAGGAAATGGACTAGCAACTGCCCTCAAATCATGGATACTCTTCCCGACTCTTACAAAGAAACTCCTCTATTTCAACTCCTCAGATCAACCTTATTTCAAGGTACTAGGTATAAAATGGTCACCTAACTCAGACACTTTCTCTTATCAGTTGAACATCCCAGACACACCTCCCACTAAACAAGGTATACTTGGAACAGTTAGCAGAATATTTGATCCAAACGGTTGGTTAACTCCAGTCACTCTTTGGGTAAAAGCGTTGATTTGATACAAGTTTTATGGACACTAGGTTTATCATGGGATGCGCCTGTACCTCCGGATCTAACTGAAAAATGGTCTAAGTTCCTCCAACAACTTCCTTTCTTAAGTGAACTTAGCTTACCTCGATATGTTTCCGTAGCTGATGCTGTTCATATCAGTTTACATGGATTTTGTGATGGGTCTGAAACAGGTTATGGAGCTTGTGTCTACTTGCGATGTGTAAGTTCGTCCGGAGAAATCAACGTACATCTGTTAATTGCCAAAGCTCGAGTTGCTCCTCTTAAGAAGATCTCCATCCCTAGATTAGAATTGTGTGGTGCCCATCTTTTGTCCAAACTCCTAAACTATTGCAATTCCCTACTCTCTCAAGATTACCTTGTCAACGAATTACATGCTTGGTGTGATTCATCTGTAGTCTTGTCATGGATAAAAACTGGGGTCGCCGGAAGACTGCCCCCCTGAAAACTACCCCCCCAAGCAGGTTACTACGTCATATTGACGTCAGAGACCGGGGGGGGGGGGGCAGTTTTCCAGTCACAAACACTCAAATTTAGTTGTCAAACAGTTCTAATCTAACCTAACCTAACCAACCAAACTTGCTGTAACATTTTGAAAATCTGTTTTATATTCACCACATGTCTTTTCTATTATCCAACTGAATTACTCTAATGAAAATTAAAATTACATAGCATGATTTGTCTAGGGGGGTAGTATTCCAGTCGCGGACACGGCTTCCATGTTGGTTAGTTAGCAGATTTTGTGACGTCACGTTTCACCTGGGGGGGTAGTTTTCCGGGGGATAGTATTCCGCATCCCCAAAAACTGTACCCTACCGCTTAAAAGTTTATGTTGCAAATTGAGTCTCAGAAATTCAGGAACTTACTCCTACTTACATATGGAAACATGTCTCAACTCATTGTAATCCAGCTGACATTGCCAGTAGAGGAACCATTCCCATTTCTATGAAAGACAACAGTTTATGGTGGAACGGTCCCGATTGGTTATCTCTGAATCAGGAATTGTGGCCTATTCCACGCTTCACCCCTCTCCAAGACGAACAATTGCCAGAACGTAAGGCCGAACCTTTACCAATAATGGTTACAACTCAAAAACCAGACTTATTCAACAGGTTTTCATCTTGGTCAACCCTCCAGCGAGTCATCGCTTACATTCTACACTTCAAAAATAACTTAACATTTGTACATTTGTAGAGGTTTGAACCAAGTTCAAGAATCAGGATTTTTAAAGCTTGAAGAGCTTGATAAAGCAACAATCACTATATGTAAAATGATTCAACAAACAGTCTTTTCTGAAGATATTTCCACATTGAAAGATGGAAAACCTTGTTCTTCTCGTCTTGTGTCTCTCTCCCCCTTCTTAGACGAAAATGGATTGATTCGTGTTGGAGGCCGCCTTAAGCACTCTCAAGTATCCTACGCTGCAAAGCACCCTATTGTCTTGCCCAAAACTAACCTTGTCACCAATCTCATCGTTGATCATTACCATTTGAAACACTTGCATGCTGAACCTCAGTTTTTACAAGCCGTTATATCTCAGAAGTTTTGGATCCTATCTTCACGAAGTGTTATTCGAAGAAGAGTTTACAAGTGCATCCAAAGCTTTAAATGCAAAGAATCCTAAGACCACCACTCAGAAAATGGGAGATCTTCCTCCACAACAAGTCCTACCCTCAGAGTATTCAACAACTGTGGACACTCTCCAGACCTAACTTAAGTCTCACCCCTTCCAATCAATGATGAATATTGAAAGAAGTTAGACTGTTAACCATCAGTTTATTGTAAATATGTTCATTTCTAAAATCAATTTTTTCTCAAACTTGATTATTAGGTGAACCCCTCTTAGTGGTTCACGGGCGGGGGTATGTTCTGTAATATTCAGTATAATTAACTTTGTTATAATAATGCTTTCTTTTATCTAAAAATAAATACAGATGGCATTGATTTTTAACTTGTTTTAATGTTTAAAACAACATGTGATTTAACAATGAACTAATTTAATAGTAATTTTGTTAGTTGAAAACAAAACATCAAGAAATGAAGATCCCTCTCTCTCTTTTGTAATGTTAATTTCTTTTGTAGCTCTGTATAATTACTCAAAGTTTATTTGTTAATATTAAAACCATTTGTCAATTGTATCTCAGTGTTCTAATTTGAAGAATCAAACTCCGCTTATGCAACAAATAATACAGTCCACTCAATCCACTCTACACGCTACCGAAATTCTACAATGATGTATATAAAACATCCAACTCTCAAAATTGGCTTCGAAAAAAATTTATTTCACTTTTCATAAAATACTCTTGTGTTGAAACTTAAAGATACAATTTCTCGCCCACTACTACACATATCAAAGCAACTGATACCATGAACATGTTCTACATTAAATTTCCAATAAGAAAAAAACAATTGTTTTGAGGTTTAGGGAATAAAACAACATTTTAAATTGTGTCAAAGTAAAAAATTACTATGTTTTTTGAAACTTATAAAATCGTTGGTCTATTGCACTATATATATATAAATTTGAACGGATGATGTTTTTGGCCTCTGGGGACCTCAAAACGAAAAAGTAAATCGGTCCCGGGTCTAGGGGTTACCATGAGACCTACGGTAATAGCTTATTCCCTATATGGGAAATTCGCTAAAATTAGAAAATTTAAACTAGCTGAATCATGGAAACTATTAGGCCTGTAATAACAATTTTTTGGACTTAAATTATAGGTGCCGGTAATTTAATTTACTTTCATAATGATAATGGTTGTTTTTCTTGAAATTTTTACGGTAGCCTATGCTTTAGGGTCAAAATTGGAGAAACGTAAAGATGTGCCAAATTCCCTAGTTTTAATGCAAGATGTTTACGCCACACTACACTATTTTGACAAACTTCCCATGCAAGGATTTAGTCTAGAAAACAGCAGTTTGCCACCAGCTTATTCAAATGGGGTTTCATTGCATACTACTGTACTGTAATGAGTTTTACCGGACACCAATCAGCTGATTATACTGTTTTTAGTAGGTGGCAATGAGTGGTTATAAACAAAAACATAACCTCTCTTAGAGGTTATGACTAGTGATTTTCAGCCCTTTAGTTGGTGGAAATATATAAGGATTTGTACGGATTTAGTAGTAAACTATCGTACGTAACTCGTCCAAAATGTGTGTACCGGACTCGTATGGTAGTCCCACTTAGTTTCAGGACTAGTAACATTATATACTATTCTTTATTTGACTTGATGAAACAAGATCCTTACCATGTTAGATTTGTAGCGAATTTTAAATGTAAAAGAATGAAATTAGTTGAATGGAATAAAAGGCTTTCCTTAAAAATATAACTAACGTACGAGTAAATGGTACACCATTGCATAGTCAAGGAAAGAAAAAAGTTAAACATCAAATAAATAAAAGATATTATTTCTTTGATAACTTTCAACATTATCAACATACATCTCTCATACAAACACCATTCCACAAATATTTACAGTAAACAGCACAAATACTAATTACTTGAAGTTGTTAAAAGCATTTAAAAAAAAATCAGTCATAACAATTTAAAAAAATTTACATCCAGTTTGTTTAGCTAACAAAAAGTTTTAACAAGGTTGGGTTCTTTTCTTAGAAACTAAAATATTCAACTACGAAATCATAGTAGGGCAAGCCAAATGTAACAATTTCTCATCTTAATGTGAGATCTGTAAACTAGTGGAGTTCTAATGCAAATAATTGACAAACTATAATTACTGGATATCATTAAAAACTGTTTCTGTTGGTCAGGTAGTTTAGTCATCATCATCAAACGTTGTTTTGACTCCTTTTGCCTGAGGTTCACCCGAACTATCATGTCTTCTTCCTCTGCCCCAACCACCTCGGCCTGTTAAACAAAAACAGCTTGGATAAAAACCTTGGCAATGCGATACATCGATATACAGTTCTGATCAGTATAGTATAACTGTTTTGTTAGAACAAATTTCGTTCGATACAAACTGCAATACACATAGTTATAGGCGACTGACGGGGTCCGCGGAATTGGCTAACTCTGGAACTCGCTAACCCCATGTTAAACGCCCTATCTTCAAATTTGGTCGATGAGAGGAACTCGCTAACTTGTTCGGTTTCGGAATTGGCTAACTCCGGAACTCGCTAACCCGCTCTAGAGCCGGGTATGCGAATTCCGTCCTCGCACGGAAGTCGCTAACTCGGTCCCTCGGCGGAACTCGCTAACTCCCAATCAGAAGCCTCGGGAGCCGTCCAATGGGAGCCAAACACGAATATTTTTGGCCAGTGTTGCCGAAAGTGTAGTACCTATATCGTATCGGTACCATAATGTCGTATCTATCTATTAATAGGCAATCCTACAATTAATTAGGAGTAAGAGCTACGTAGTCGATAAAATAAATATATTTAGAAGTATGTTTAACATTATTACTATGATTATTATTGTGGAAAATGCATTTTAATCTTACCATAGACTAACCAACACAAGTAAACTTTACATCCCATTGTAAACTTTGAAGCTCATTTTTCGTGTCTAGTTCATGTCCGGTGACACTGATCGCTAGTGTCGACAAAAGTGTGTCACTATTATTTTATAGTTAACTTCATGATTTGTTTTTTAATGTTTGGTTATATAACTAGGGGACGTGTTATTAGTTGTGATTAGAACGTTTTATTTGGTTAAACGAGGTTTTAAATTACTGAAAACAAGAAACAATTGTAAAGAAAACACGACCTCTAAAGACAGTGCACCGGACAGAACTAACAATAAAACTGTCTTCAGCTGATCCATTAGGATGAGAAATCTACTAAGGGAGTATGTTTTATCTATGATAGTAGCTTATTGGTATGCAAAAAGATAAAAATGCACATTTAATTTGGATCTATTACATGTTATGAAATATCTATTTTCGTAGTCCGCCATTTGTTTCTTTTATTCAAATAAATACCATTTTGTAAATTTCTGCAAATAAAATTATTGAGTTCGTATTTATATACTGGGCTTGTAACCTTGAATCATAAATCATAATAAAATTTACACGTTAAACGTAATTAAAGAATTACATTGTAGTGGTAATGTATTTTTAAATAGAGCTATTGAATTTAAATAAATATTTATCAATACTTTATAAAGTGGTAGGCCTAATGTATTCATGGATTGCATTAAAAGTTAGTCTATGCATAAATACAACTTGTAAATTTCTGTTATCGTAGGCTATTAGTTAGAAGTCGGGTCATCCTCTTAATTTTGTTGAATTAATATTAATTTTACGTCTTTCAGTAGGCTTACTTTTTAAAAGTCTGGAGTTTTTCTCTAGGCTGATGCTAAATGGATGCAGGCGTTCTTGTTTGTTACAATTCTATGAATTGGTGGTCATAGCTAAAATTACTTAATCTTATCCAAAAACAAAGCTATTGTCTATTGTGAAGCTCAGTACTGGGCAACGGTGAACCGAGCAATGGCTTGGTATAGTTTATATCGATTGTGAAAGCAATATAAAGGAAACCCAACACTCAAATCAGGAAAATCCGTCAATTCGTTTATTAAGAATCGTGAATTAAAATTACTGTGTCACGTTTTATTATATGAATATTATATCTTCTACTATTTTTTACTACTGGTGCTTAGGTGTACAATCCAAAAACGGTTTTATAACATGTAACATAAATCTGTTTTCCGTGTTTAAGAACTTGCGTGTATTTTAGCTTAGTTTCGTAAAGGTTTAACTATTTAGTACCAATTAAACTGAAATTTCAATATTTTTCATATTCTATTATTTTATTTTATACTGATGGCATTTATATTTAAGATCGAAATCATAAACATTTAACTAACCATTGTACAGTTTAATAAAAAAAACACTTTTTCATGATTTTTTAATTGTCTTTAAATTACTTTGGGCTAGTTATCTGTTAAAAGTGGAATTGATAACAAAAAACAATAACATTTACTGTATCTTTATTGACACTGACATTTTGAAATACGGCAGTGTACGATTATTTTGTCGTACAAGGTTGGCAACGCTCCGTGCAGTGGGCGCGGCCGGGTTAGCGACTTCCAGAGTTAGCGAATTCCGCCGCGAGACAAAATCGAGTTAGCGGGTTCCGGAGTAAGCCAATTCCTGACTGAGACGGTTAGCCAGTTCCAGAGTTAGCCAGTTCCGACACACGACCGAGTTAGCGAGTTCCTGAGTTAGCCAATTCCTACGTCTCGACTGACGCCTATTGGGTCTGATGATGACTGGAGTGTCCAACCAAAATCGATCACCATTTACCATCTTTTTTGTATATTTACCGTCTTGTGAGTAACAGTATAAGCGTGAATATATGTTTTAAGTGTTATAAGACGTTTCTTTTATTCACTTTCAGTTAAAAGCTGTAAACAAATGTTAATCTGTTAGTGTTCTAAAAATAGGAGGTAAATGTAATTTAAATTTGAATGTATACGCAAAATTTGGCCGCCATTTTAAAATTTTCAATTGGACCAAGGTAAAATGTTTTCTAACATGGGTCTTTTCTACTTTAACATAGATACCAGTATCATTAAGATTGGTTGAAACAATCCAAAGATAAAAATGTGTATGCAATAGATACAAAATGGCAGATATCAGGTTAACAAAGCAATAATAGGAAAAGTTTTTTTCTTGATTTTTCAAATTTTGACCCAAGGAATCGCTACATGTCCACACAATTTTAAATACCCTGTATATAAAGATATGAATGTTAAGTTTATGCAAAATATAACCCATGTTTTCCTAATTGTTCCCCCACCCCCTGATTTTTTATAGTCAACCATTGTTACTGATTGGTCTAAAGTGAATATTTCCAACCTACCCCTGCCTCTACCTCCCCCACGTCGTCCTCTGCCTGGCTTGTTATGTTTAGATCGACGGTCCAGGATGGATTTGCGGGCAGACTCTAAGAACTTCTCTTCCTCCTCCCCTTCCAGAGGTTTTAACGTCACTTCCTGTCCATCCTTGAGCTTCAAAATGCCATCCTCACACTCCTTCATAACCTACAGGATAAATTACATCTTATTAACTTTATAGCCATGTGACTGCTACCCTAACTTTTTGCAGGATAACAGATAAAACAAAATTAGAGAACATAACAATACCAAACATTTCCAAGATTATTGATCCAGAGTTTAGAACCTGGAAAAATCATATAAATATTTAAAATCCACACAATACACTTCAGTTTAATCTGAGTTTGGAGTGAGCTTAATCCCTACAAATCCCAGAAATATTTGTAGATAATTTGCACCAATGTAGGCCTAGAAATAAACTTTACAAAATTAAATGCGGTAAGCCTATCGAGAAAATTGTGTTAATGGTATTTCTTAATCAGTGTGTGTTCAAATATGACAAGACACCTAAAGTCACTACTATATGTTAAAAAATCATTTAATAATAAATAAGTAGATTATTTACTATTAACGTAACAACCTCCACGAGCTCATCGAGGGGGCCCCACAGAACTCATGAAAAATATGAAAAATTTTACCTGGTTTTCCAGACACCAATAGTGTACCTTTTACTGTCTATTGTTTAAGTATCACAGTTCTTTGTTCATAACAACAACAATGTAATTAGTTTTAAGTATAAAAATTGATAAAACCTCAGATTTAATGTCAATTTCTAAATCCCTAGTAACTTATGTAAAACCTGCTAAAATGGGGGTTTTCATGTGCTAACAGTGTTTCATATGCGATTACGAAAGCAGATACAGAACATTGCTCAGTGATTAAACCCTTCTTAATTCATCTTAGATCAATAATACAAAGAAATGGCATTTAAAAGTTTTCCCTGTACAATTTCAAAACTCGCCCATAATACCCGGTCTAAGGCTACTCTGATTATCTTATTTTGTTCAAGCAACCTACCTTCTCAGCACTGCCCTCCTCAAACAGTCTTATCCACCCCTCAGAATCGCCTTTGTTGTAGTCTATAAATGCCACAGATATGCCTAATCCCTCAAGTTGTTCTTTCACTGTCTCCCGAACCAGCCCCTCTGGGATCTTGGTCATATGCAGAGTCGCGTTCTTGGGAAGTCCCTTCTCATCTGCCTTATCCTGAATAATGACAGAGAATAATGGAATATTACACAATAATGACGCTGATTGTTCAGAAGCACAAAAGGATTAGGGTGATTAAAGAATAATTCTCAAAACTATTGGCATTCAAGATATTGGTATTATTAGAATTACACAGCATCTTAGCCTCTAGAATCCAAAAAGATCTAAACAATTATAGTTTATCTTGTTTCAAAGTAGTTCAATATTTGGTACAAAGTCAAAACAACAGTAACATACATTTTGATAATATCACTTTAAATAAATCAGAGACCTTAACTATAGGCTAAATCTTAAAAATATATATCTCTTACCTCCATTTCGGATTCTGGCCTCTTTCGCTTCAACATCTTTTGTTCTTTCTGTTCAAGTCGTTCTTTTCGTTTCTGTTCGATGTACTCTTCTCTATAAAGTAACATATTTCTTAAATATCTCAATTTTTTATGTATGAAATAAAAAAATAAGGAATATTTTGTCTAGAAACCAATTTTTTAGAGAAAAATAATTATAATTAATTGTTGACATTGCTAACAATAAACTTCAATACAGACATACCAAGTTATTTTAAGAAAACTTTGAAAATAAATTCAGGCAAACGGAATGGACCAACTTACCTAATAAATGAGTTCCACCTGACAGACAACCCTACAGTTATGCCCCTACAAGATACTTTAACTATTTTCTTAGGTAAGTTAGTTATGTATACCCACCTCTGACTAACTGTTCTAGCTTAGGTGAGGATAAAATCATTATATTGTAATCCTATACTGTAATACGAGCAAAGACTGTGTGTCTGTCTGTCTGTAACATATGTCTCAAAATATAGTGGAAGGATTTTGATTAAATTTTGGAATTAGGGACTTATACCCTTAAAAACGTGACAGCCACTAAAGAAAATTTGTATTCGTTACAAAACACATTTGAAAATTAAAAAATGTAACATTGGTCTTATGGGTTGCCTTTGCCTAGTAACTATGTTGGTTGAACAAAATAACAAGTAAAAAGTTAAATAAAAGACTTGTAACAACTTGTGTTTATAACAAGCCATCCACAGAAGACTAGCAAATTATTATACAATACAGTACAAAGTGATAAACGTCAGTTGTTGTAACTATTGAGCAAATATTATACCACTGAAGATAATTTGATATAAGGGAAAATAGAGCAAGTTTTCTTTATGAGTGTTTCGCGTTGGTGACGTTTGAGTGCAATGGTGTCAACTCAATGTTTCACTCTTATTTAAGGGTGGATTTTACAATTTGTATACTGACTTTTTTATAGTTTACATAATTTGGACAGCTGTATTCAGTTGAATTGAAGTAGTTAACTAGCAGAAAATCCCGGCTTTGCCCGGGTAAAATTATACAATGTGCAATAAGTGGTTATAGAATTAATGTTTTTTTTACTTTTTGCATGGATGTACACTTATCGTGATACTATTAAATCTAGAATTTTTCTTTTCCTACAGTCACCCGACAAAGTGGGCTTCCTTGCACTGATTATAGTGGATGCATTGCACGACATCCAAGTGCCACGACGTCCAATAATATTTATTCAGTGCCACGACGTCCAAAACATAATTTTTGAGTTGTTGCACGACGTCCAAGTGCCACGACGTCCAAAAGTACAGTAACTGCCAAAAATCTGTATTTATACAAGCTTTGGACTTCGTGACACTTGGACGACGTGAAACAGCGCACTATAGAATTGTAAAAAAGTATCATTTGCACGACATCCAAAGTCGCTGCCAGTTGCACGACGTCCAAGTGCCACGACGTCCAATAAATATTTGACTGTTGCACGACGTCCAATATAGCTCAGCGCTGTTGCACGACGTCCAAGCTCCTTCATGATAACCGGTTACGATGACCGGCTACTTGCCGAACAGTGTTCTCTCGTGTAAAATGCTTAATGGAACGTTTATTAGTTATATATACATGGGTATATGTTCTTGTTCAGAAATATATATACTATGAATATATGAACCATTAATTGAAACATCATAAAGTAAAAAAAAAAAAATTAAAAAGAAAAAATAAACAAGGCAACAGTTGGAAAACTATAAGGCTTACATGGTTTGAAAAGTGATGACATTTTGTTAACAACCGATAAACTTCATTATGTTTGGAGTAAGCTTTTAAATACTTATTTTTTCAAGACTAGATGAATGTACATTGATCAACATGATCTTTGAAAACTATTTTTTATACCCTCATTTTAATTTTTACTAGTATAAAGAATAGAATGCCTTTTTAGAACTGTTTTTTAGGCTTCAATTAAATGTTCTTATGTCGCAAATATGTTTATTAATAGTATTCACTTAACATTGACTTAGTTTTATTTCAATAAATTTTGTGTTTGTGTTTTGCTACACCACTTATTAAATTGCAACCAATGAGAATATCATATAAATAAGTTGTACACAGGATTCTTTTGTCTCCCCAACTCTAAAATACAACGCACATGAATTGAAAATGGCATTGTATTCTAATAATAAATACCTTTAATTTGATGTGCATATCAACCTATGCTTCCAGTCAAGATTTACTTCCGACTCCTTGTGGGCCGTCGCCCTGAAGAGTTATTTGGATCACTGAATGTGAAGTTATGGGGATCATTTTAAAGGGAATTTTAAGCAAAGAAGAATGCCGCAAACCGTACTTCAAAAGGACCATCCGTTTAAAAATGACAGTTGTTTAAAGATTTAAAAAAGTGTTTTAATTTAAAGAAATTGGCTAATTTTTAAAATCTTTGAACATCTGCCATTTTGCGCAGGATCAACCTTTTGAAGTGCGGTTTGCGGCATTGTTTTCAGTTGAAGTAGACCTTTAGAATGATGTACAACTCAACATAGGCTGTCATTAAAGATTTTCTTCTGACCCCCGACGGGCCGTCCCCCAAAGGTGATATCCGACCACCATGTACACAGAAAAGTAGCTTACAATTTCCAGTAACGGTATACCAAATGTGGTTGTGATATCGTTTGTCGTTTAAAAGTTATAAAGCCGACCTAAGACTTAACGGTCACCCTGTATATTAATAGGCAAGCATGTTTCTTTAAAACCTTTTTTCTCAGCTTGTGGGCATCGCAGGAAAAATCTTCGCATACTGTTAGAAAGATATTTTTCTGTAGGTGTGCAGAATCCCTTTAAAATTAAAATAGGCTCAGAAATAAGCACAAGACAAGAAATGAATTTGAAATTTGAAAAAAATTAACATGAGCTTTATGGGTTTCCATGCCGGTGACGAAATGACAACGAAATATAAACAGAAAATCAAAACAAATTGAAGAAACTCCAATCACATGTTTTATTTACAGTGTGGGGTGAAAATAGAGAAGTCTGTACATTACAAATTTTTGGTTGAGTTTCGACCACTGGACGACCTCTAGTACTAATGAAATTACATTAACATTTGGTTTGACAGCTACATTTAAGTAATGTAAAATAATGTTTACATTCGGACTATTAACATCATTATTTTAAATTTATAATCCTTTCCCTCTCTGTTCTGATATTCGAGCATTATTTAATACTAGTGTACCTGTTGCTCGAATTCGAGCAATTGCAAAGTATTGCAGGCGTTATTTTAAAACTAATAAAAGTCACAATTTCCGTTGACTTAAAAGAGTCAACTCAAAGATAATGTAATCAATCACTCCACTTCAGTTATCGAAACTGAAAACGAACTCACTCTGAAAACGAACGCTCACTCCACTATTATCGAAACTGAAATGACAACGAACTCACTCTGAAAACGAAAGCTCTTGAGTGTATAATGTGTTTACTATGAACAGCTGTTTTAGTATTATATGCACTTAAAACGAATTATTCGTCTGTTTAAGTAAACAAAATTTTTTCTTCATAAGAAATACATTGGGATTTTGATGGCCTGTGGGGCAAAGCCCGAGGACTTTTATAAACAGGAATTGGTGAAAGGGGGAGTCTACACAAAAAATACTTAATTTTGACACCTCGTTTGTAAAAATCCGTCCATTATTAACGGAGGAGTAGTGTTTCGTAGAAATCGCCTTCACGTATTATATATAAGGATGTTTGAACCAGCTGTGTGGAATTGTGAAATCAAAATTCATTTGACAGTTAGTTCTGGTTGTTTACATTTTTAAATTATGTAGGTTTGCTCTTGTTACCATGGATACCATCAATCAATATTTTAAAATCTCTCACCTCAAATTTTTGAAAGCCCACGGGGCAGAGCCCTAGGACAATAACGAAGAGGGAATAGTTGTATAATATGTATCCTCGGAGCTGTAGCTTCATTTACGTGCAATTTGAGCCCAGTCGGTTCAGTACTTTTTGAGATTAGGCTATCTCATACAAACACACAGACACACACACCCACACAGACACCACCTCTTCTTTATAATAGTATAGATAGATAGATAGATTACTATTATAGTATTATATATTGTCTGTGCTATGGCTAAAATTCGTTTTTATTACTGCATCAGCTGGAGACACTCTCTGAATATCTGCTTCAACCATTTGTTGTTAAACATTGATCTCGTAAAATAGTGAAATTATTTTTCGTATGCACTAATAGAGCAAGGTTTGTACTAAAAGAAACCCTTCTTTTAGTTTAAAAAATACATGTATCACATTTTTGACCATTGTAGTAACATCATTATAGCTTAAAAAGTTGATAAGTTATAGTTTACATAATATTTAGCACATTTGACGGATAAACCTTTTTTGAATTCGTCATATTATAAGTGTATGAAAATTCATATATCTGTGTATCAATATCTACTTATCTCATTTCTGTTCAATGGAAGTTATACAATTTCAATGATACCGGTACTTAAATGGGAAGTCTTACAGCTGTTATAAAACTGTGCATACATTTGATCTTACGAGTAAATTTGCTACCAATTGATATAGTATGACAATTCTATTCTCCTGAAGTACTTAGAACTCTACCACTACTCACATTAAACCTACCATATTTACTTTTGGGCTAGTGATTAATTTATTGTATTAATCATACAATATAGTGAATAGTGTAGTCTTTTATTTATTTCGCTTCTATGACATAGCTCTATTTTGTAGGAATCAATTATGCAATCATAACAACAGAAATACTGCATCATTACATTTTACGGTGACATAGTATTTATTTTACATATAAAAAATTTAAGCTAATGCAATAACTAGTTCAATTAGAACCATTGAATATTGAATAATTTAAACATTAATCGAAGACGAAGCGGTTGACAACTTTCAAACAGTTAACTAGGCCTAATCGCCTTCAAAACTAATATTTCAATAATTGCAATGCGAACTGTATGCACTGAGGTCGGCAAACAGTGTTCACTGTGTGCAGGCACTTTGGACGTCGTGGTACTTGGACGTCGTGCAACAGTCAAATATTGATTGGACGTCGTGGCATTTGGACGTCGTGCAACTGGCAGAGGCTTTGAACGTGGTGCAAATGATACTTTTTTACAATTCTATAATGCGCTGTTTCACGACGTCCAAGTGCCACGACGTCCAAAGCTTGTAGAAAGACTATATTTTTGGCAGTTACTGTACTTTTGGACGTCGTGGCACTTGGACGTCGTGCAACAACTAAAAAAATACTTTTTGGACGTCGTGGCACTGGAAAAATATTATTGGACGTCGTGGCACTTGGACGTCGTGCAACATTCCCATTATAGTACATTCTGCTGATTGCCGCTTTTGCCGCACACTTTTTACCGCACAACAAAAAAGTGTGCTTTTATTATGCACTATTCTTTGTAGCACATCTATATCTATCTATATATTAATATACTTATTTAATACGCAGGCAGGTTTTTTGTGACAATTACTCCTCCGAAACTACTGAACCGATTAACATGTTTTTGGTGTCATTGGAAAGAGCGTAATGTGAAGTTGAGTAGGAAATAATTAGAGAGTGAGTGCCTGGGGCCCTTTAAAGTTTTGTATTTCTCCATAAGATTAACATGGGAAACAAATATTGTTATGAAACTCCAGCTGTTGTCAGAAATTGAAATTACAGTGAGAAGAAGAACATATGTTAATTGTAAACAGTCAATAAGTTTGCTAATTTAACAGTTTGCTATAAACATTTATTGATTTGGCGAGAGAGGCTGGATAATTTGATAAACTAAAAAGAAAACTGAATTAACACTGTGCTGCATTTCTTAGTAGTCATTAAAAGAGCCGATTTGTAAAGTATAGAAACATAGGAAAGTCATAGAACAACATCAAGGAGAAGAAATAGAAATAATGTTTTTTTTTTAGAATTTACAATCGTTATTATGGACAACCCTAATGCGGCTATGAGTAAGGCTATTTGTAGAAAACACTAAAAAACAAGATCAGCTTTTAAAAAATGATAAGATATTTACAAGAAATGTTGATTTTATCGATCTGTTATGTACATCTTGAGTATTTTCATAATCTTTGAGTGGAATCTTTCAAAGTTATCAGAAGATATGACTGTTATTCGTTTTAAAATAACGCCTGTAATATTAGCAATTGCTCGAATTCGAGCAACAGGTACGCTAGTGCTTATTTAATACGCATTCAGGTTTTTTGTGACAGTTACTCCTCCGAAAATACTGAACGGATTGACATGTTTTTGGTGTCATTGGAAAAATCGTAATGTGAAGTTGTGCAGGAAACTTTCTTTATAGGGAAATAATTAGAGAGTGAGTGCCTGGGGCCCTTTAAAGCTTCGTATTTCTCCATAAGATTAACATGGGAAACAAACATTGTTATGAAACTCCAGCTGTAGTCAGAAATAAAAAGTGAGAAGAAGAACATATGTTATTTGTAAACAGTCGATAAGTTTGCTAATTTAACAGATTGCTACAAACATTTACTGACTTGGTTGAAATTAAATATTTTCTATTTGAATTTGGGTTGGCGTAAATATTACAATGGACAAAAGCGAGAGAGCCTGGATAATTCGATATACTAAAAAGAAAACTCAATTAACACTGTACTGCATTTCTTAGTAATCATTGATAGAGCCGATTAGCAAACTATGGAAACATAGGAAAGGCATAGAACACCACTAAAAGAAGAAATAGAATGTTTTTTTAGAATTTATAATCGTTATTGTGGACAACCTAATGCGGCTATGAGTAAGGCTATTTGTAGAAAACACTAAAAAAACAAGACCAGCTTTTGAAAAATGATAAGATATTTACAAGAAATGTTGATTATATCGATCTGTTATGTACATCTTGAGTATTGCCATAATCTTTGAGTCGAATCTTAAAGTCATCAGAAATTATAATTGTTAGGTATTCGTTTTAAAATAACGCCTGTAATACTTAGCAATTGCTTGAATTCGAGCAACAGGTACACTAGTGTTTCCTTAAATTGCAACTAAAATATTAACAGCAATCAAATTATCCAGCTGATCATAATGTAATCAAATATGTTCTTCATAAGGATAACATGGGAACTTTTAAAAGCCACTGGGGCAGAGCCCAAGGGACTTTTTCACAAATGTAAGGTCAGTTTACAAATCTACACACCTAGATGAACATTTTGGTAGGCCTACATAATATGTGGGGTTGAATCTTAAAACAAAAAAGCCTTATTGTTCACAAAGTTTCATGTAGTGCATTAATATTATAGATAGATAGATAGATTGTATTACAATAGTTAACAATATACGCTTGAAGCGGACTCATCTGTCTTCAGCTAAATCATTATACAGTAGAGTCCCGCAAACTCGGCACTCGATAACCCGGCAGTCTAAATAACTCGGCCATCACCTGGCTCAGAAAATTTGTGATTTTTAGTTAAATATGTATGTACAGTATACATTTTTTTATTTCCTAACGCACCAAGGACTTGTTTCACTATATCTGATGACTTAATACCGACTTGTAATATAAATATAAATAAAAAAGGCGGTTGAAAAGCTTCAAAACTGTATTGTTAAGCCTAGTTCCCGATAACCCGACATTTCGCAAACTCGGCACCCTTTCAGTCCACATTACGCCGAGTTTGCGGGACTCTACTGTACAAGAGTATTTTAGAGAGTATGCTCATTCTGAAGTTTTCCCTTAGATTGCTTTTACAATAAAAATAAACTATACCGAGCTATGGCTCGGCCGCCCGGTACTGTTTTTAGTACACTTAAAGACTGCATAGACAGGCATTGTACTTACTGGAACATCTTGATAAGCACCTCATCACCATATTTGACATCCTCTCTAGCTAAAAAAGCTGAAGCGGCCTCCCGAGATGGAAACTTAACAAACACCGACCCCTTGAACTTCCATGTCTTGGTGGCTTTGTCTTGCCAGAATCTCAACTGTAAACAAGAAAAAACTATATTTTTAAATTGTGGAATGGGTAGAAAGAACGATAGACAGAAATCCAACATTGATGTCTACTAAATAGTTCAGATTCTACCCTAACAGACAATGGGATTTTCGTAAGTGTAGGCCAGTAGAAACGAGGATACATAAGAGAAAAAGATAACCTGTTAGGAGACACTTAAAGTAGGCTATGGATATAGTGGCACATGTTGCTGGGACCAGTGCTCAATTTGAGATGAAACAACAAAAATGATGTACTGTTCACATGAGCAATTTAAAAATAGCCAATATTATTTTGTTAATAACTGTGATTCCGACGTAGGCATGATAATTTGAAATACCAACACTCGCAACACACAAGAGACAGTAAAATTTAGGTTTGCTACTACTGTAGTGATGTGCATATCGATATGTATCATTTCTAATATCAATACATGGACCGGAAAATTTTCCTCCCAGCTTCCTCCCCTTAAATGTAGTAGTGGAAATTTGATGTTTTACTCTACAATCCTCAAAAACACTGATAATACCCCCGCCGCAGCAAACCTGCAGACTAAGTGAATTTTGATTTGCCTGATTAGATTCTCAATTAAATCTATTCAAATAACATTAGGTTTAACGAGTACCTAGGTTTGCTGCCTACAGGGAGGGTAATAAAGAGTTTTTTAGTAAAATATTAATAGGTTAGTATAAAATAAATAGATTAGCCAGGTTTGATCCAAATATATCCATAAACAAGCAAACTACAACAGTTTAGTAATTCTCCATAAGAATAGAAAAACATTGGAATTTTTAATTTACAATTTTCTCCGTAACCAATAATCATACAGAAACACTTCAATATGGCCTACTAAATTATTTGTTTTTTAAAGGTCCTCAAAATGGTCTAGAGAAATTTGGGAGATTTTAAGTTTTGAGGGTCAAAAACAAGAAAAACCAATTTTTACCCCATAAAACCCCGTCCCCATGGTCCGATCATGCTGGTTCGCGAACTCGTTTGAATAAACGTAGGTTTACACAATTGTACCAAATTTCATCGTAATCGGATCATTTTTGCTCGAGTTATCGTGCTAACGGACACAAATATATTATACATTGTAAACATATTTAATTTGTATTTTATTTAGTCTGAAATCAGCCATAAGGAAACGAATTAATATATAAAAACAAAGTGATAATAGAAAGATTAAATACACATTTTACTGTACTACAAACGGTTACGATTATTAGGAATTCGTAAATACAAATAAATAATGAACTATTACAGCTGTGCAGTACGAGATCTCAGGGTCTCGTACAATGACGTCATATTCATTTCCTGGGCTGGCTGAAGATTGTCAACATTAGGGATGAGTCGAATCCGAATCTCGAATCCGCCGAATCTCAAGAAAAGATTCGGATTCGAGATTTGAATGATAGGATTCGAGAATCGAATCTCGAATCTACCAAGATTCGCAAGCTTAACGAGATCGAGATTCTAGGCCAAGAACGAAAACGAAACGTTTGAGTTGAGTGAGAGAGAACGGTTTCCGGTCCGGTTCAAACAAAGACCCTAACGGTAAACAATAAACATGCAGTCGTCTGCATTCTGCAATGTAACACAGCCCAAAATGATTGCCTTCTTAACTTCTTACTTTACTTCTTTTCTTATTAAAAGTCCAGTGTTGCCACAACCATTTGTTTCCTACACGAAAACGGTGCATTCGTTCCAATATTAGAAGAGTTCTGTTGGTTATTGGTTAACGCTGATCAGAGCGTATTGAGCGTAAGGAGAGCAGACTGACTAACTAGACTAGTTTAGTGGGGGTTGAGGGATGCGCGATTGCGAACTGCGAGGTTTCAGTTGGAATGAATTCCTTTATTGAAATGTTCGTTTTCGATTGTTTCGGATGATTAATTCGAATGGATTAATTGGAAAAATCCATTCGTTTTTGCTAATGCTATCAAGTACATAAGGATAATTAATAGCATAAGTTTCTTATGTTATTAAAATCCGTGTATATTTTGCAAACTGTTTAAGTCAGCTATATTGGCAAATTGAATGACTTTAAATTGCAATATTAATTTGTGCGGATAAAATGAACCATCGAACGGTAATTTTGAATGCAGCATAAGCCTTCGATCACTTTTCGAATGGATGAAACAATCGATTAATCGAAACGTTTGAGATCGCATCAATAGCAGACAGCAGACGCATTTTCCAATACCAAGCAATAATCATTCCAATTTCTTGACCCTAGTCTTGTCGTTGTTTGGATTGAGATTGAGAAGCTTCGTATTTTACAGTACTGTGTAATGTAACAAACTCTTTGTCAAATAAAGCAAGTTACTATTTTCCGTATTCTGTTCAGTTCAGTTAATCTTTTTCAACTTCAATCGGCAATATTTTGTTGCCAAATGACAATCGTAATCGTAATCGTTCTTGCTAGTGAGTGTTAGTTGAACTGAACTTTAAATTTGTTCGTCGTTCGTCTTCTGCTGTTCTGCACGACTGTAGCCTATTACCGTAGTAATTGGACATCAAGACTTTTAATGATGTTATTGCTGACTATAAACGAATAACTTACTTTGTTAGGTATTTTTCCAGTGAGTGAATATTGTGTGAAGGCTTAGGCTACAAGTTATTGTTTCTATTTGATTTGGAGCAATAGGCTAGGCTTAGGTTAGAGCCTACTGGATTTTCTTTTGAAATTTATTCGTCTTCTGCTGTTCTGCTCGAAGTGTATTATCGTAGTGTATTATATTAGGACATCAAGGCTTTTAATATTATTTCTGACAATGACCAAATACTTTGTTTAGGTTAGGTGTTTTAGTGAATATTGTATGCAGGCTTAGGATAGGCCTACAAGTTATTGCTCTGTTTGATTTCGAGTAAGTTAATAGGTTAGGCTTAGGATACTGGATTTTCTTTTTCTAACCATGAGTTCGGAGGTTTGGAAATATTTTAAAATTTGCTCAGACAATACTAATTTTGCTAAGTGCAGTTTGTGTTCAAAGGTGATATCTCGAGGTGGTACAAGTAAAACAACATCAAGTTTATCTAAACATCTCCGAACCATGCATGCAACAAAAGTCACCAAACCCAGCTCTAAAGTAACATTCTTTAAAGGTAAGAAACAAGAATCAAAGACATTGCCTCTATCTTCACCATCAACATCAGCTGTTAAAGAACCTGTGTTTGGGCCTACTGAAGAAGAGATAGCCGTGGACGATCCAATGGGACCCCAAACACCATGGAATGAACCTTTATCAATTGACATTGACACTAGTTCAAGTAGTATTGACAATGTGACAGGGGGAGATTGCTTGACTTCACCTGAATCAACAACCAATATTTCACTAACTCCAGATTCTGAAAGTTCTATCCATAGTTCAACTCCACTTCCATTTTCTCAACTGAGTCCTCCAGCAGTCCCAATCTATCCAAAAACAATAAAAATTCCGCAAAAGCAGACTACTATCAAAGGGATGTTTGAGAAAAAAACTAAATTCACACCAAATGATCCAAGGGCAACGCAAATAGACAAGTTAATTGCAGAAATGATATGTCTAGACCTGCAGCCAATTTCTGTTGTCGAAGATGTAGGTTTTCGGAGGTTGCTTAACCACTTTGAGCCAAGATACAATGTCCCATCTAGAAAGACATTTTCAAACAAAATACTTTCAAAAATGTTTGATAAAATTCAAACTGAAGTGAAAGTAAACCTTCTTCATGCCAAACACGTTGCAATTACAACTGATATGTGGACGTCGGTTGCTAATTGTGATTACATGGCCGTTACTGCCCACTACTTTAGTACAGATTCTAATACTATGGTCCACAAATGCTTGGAATGTGTGCCATTTCCAGACATCAGTCATACCGCTGTCAACATCCTAAACTTTTTAAACCAAGTATTCGAAAACTGGGGGATTCAGGACTCAATTGTTGGCATTGTTCGAGATAATGGTGCTGACATAACAGCTGCGTTAAATAAGAGCAAGTATGACGCTTATCCATGTGTTGCACATACACTTCAACTTGTAATAAAAGATGGATTTATGGAAAACGTGAAAATAGCAAATCTTGTGAAAAAGGCAAAAAAAGTAGTAGGTTGCTTCAAAAAGTCAGCGAAGAACACAAAATTATTGAAAGGACTTCAGAAACAGCTAAATATTCCAGAGCATCGTCTTATTCAAGATGAACCTACACGCTGGAATACAACGTTTTATATGCTAAAGCGGCTTGTAGAGCAAAAGGATGCTCTTACACTTATGTCAGGGAAGCCTGAAGTGAGTCTCCCTGTCGAGCTGACATCTGATGACTTCAGAACAATGCAAACTGCAGTTGAGATCCTTGAGATTTTTGAAACCGCTACACGGCAAGTCAGTAAAGAATCTTCATCAATTTCTGAAGTAAGTTTTAGGTTAAGAAGCTAATTAATGTTATATTATAATGTACAAATAATAATAAAGAATTCGATGTAGGTAATGTTTGGCAAAATACATACCGTACCGGTAGCCTATTTGAAATAGGCGCATCGGTGATCTTAATAAGGTAGGCCTATCTAAAAAATTAAACTGGTACAGTTTCTTAACTGGGCTACGCAGATATAGATTGAACGTAATCATTGATTAAAAATATCGAGTAGGCCTAATAATAGATATTTTTCGAGTAGGCCTAATAATAGATATTTTTCGAGTAGGCCTAATAATAGATATTTTTAACTATAGGCCTAAATTATAAAAAAATGAAACCAAACCTAACTAACCAAACTTGCTGTAAAAATAATCGAATGAAGGTTTACTAATCAAATCGATAGTTTTAATCGATATTAGCGTAATCATAGTCCAGTTAAGAAACTGTACCCAATTCAACTGACTTAAAAATTTAAGTTAGGGCCTACAAATAAGTTCAAACATAGCCAAAAGAAAAAACACTTGCTTCAAAAACATTTTGGCAGATTTTTTTACCATATATAGAAATCAATACTTTTCAAGTGAAGTCTAGAATTTTAAGCTTCACCTAACCTTTTATTACTAGATCAACTTTAAATACAAAATGTTACATTAAAAACATTAACACTGTACGGTACATTGTTTACTGTACACTAAAATTGTGGTTTTTCTTAGTGACATTAATAATAAATACAAAACCTACCTGCCCAGCGTAGGCCTACTATTTAGCTCTTTAGCTCCACATTTGTTAAATGTTAATAATAGGCTATTTACTTTCACCAAGGTAATATTAAATTTTTATTTTAACAAATTACTGATATAAAGTTTGTAGGCCCTATGTTTCACTGTCCGCTTGAATAAATACAGTACCGTAACAATTTAAGTGGAAATGCAATCTTACTCACAGTTGTCTAGGGAATAATATGTTTAATTGAGATAGGCTTAGTCTACTCAATGCACATGATCAAGCATTTTTTTTTTGTACTAGGGTTAGGCATAGGCCACTAATTTCCGTATAATACACAAGCAACTGAAGCAAAGCAACCATTTGGAAAGTTTGGTTAGTCTTGGTTGGGTTATAACAAAACAAAAAGAGTCTAAAATCAGTGGCCTAAGCCTGACACATAAGTAGGCCTAATGTTTTCCTTTCCTGATTTTAGGCTTATTTGTATTGTTTCAGATTATACCATTAATAAACACAATTGCCCATTTCTTGGAAAATTTGAATGTGGCTGGATCTGGATTAATGGGACTAAAAAATGACTTGGTATCGTCATTAAAACGCCGATATCCAAACGTAGAAGAAGATTCCAGCTTTGCCATTGCGACCATACTGGATCCACGGTTTAAATCAGCTCCTTTCCAAAATGAAAGGGCACTGGAGGCGGCCAAAATAAAAATCCTGGATGAGATGGGGAGATTGGAGGAGGTCTTGTCAGAACCTCCTGCCGAGGATGAGCAAAGCAGGAATGAAAACCAGAAGAACTTTTGGAGTCATTACTCATTATTCACAAAAGCAAGTCAAACTGTGTCAGTTCCTTCTTCTGAAAATTCAACTTTAAATGAACTGCAAATGTACTTGAGTGAAAAACTGGTTGAGCATACGGAGGACAAAAATGCAGTATACACCTACTGGAAGTGTACACATTTTTTAAAGTTAAAAAAAATTGCGACTAAGTATATGTGCATTCCCCCTGCAACCGTATTCAGTGAGAGACTGTTTAGTAGTGCTGGGCTAATTTGCGACAAGAAACGAAATCGGCTTGATCCTGAAAGAGTGAAACAGCTTGTATTCTTGCATAAAAACTTGCAATAGGTTTGGTTGCTGTTAGCATCACAGACTACAATCTATCTGACAATTAAATTGGTCCATAGTCTTTTTTAGCATCTAACGTTTCTCTACATACACATTTAAAGCACTGTATTTCAATTAAATGGTACTTGTTTTTTTTATTATAAAAGGTTGGTTTGTGTTTTGGGCAAGGTTAAAAAATAAATTAACTCATTTGTGTTGAATTATATGTTTTATTTCTTCTGTCTCCTTCCAATTTGTGGATCTTGATCATTTCATGTTTGTAGTTAGGAACATGGTAGCCTACTTATGTTAATTATCTAATAAAGGTACCTACTAACCATGTTATTTTTTGACCAAAACATAGTTTTACTTAAATAATACCAAACATAAGCCTATTAGAAACTGAAACAGTAGTTTGAGTTTGAGGAGTATTTTTATTATTCAAATTAGGATTTTTGAGAGGATTAGGTTAGGATTCGAAATTCAGGATTCGAGACTCGAGATTAGATTTTTTTAAGATTCGGATTCGGATTTGAGATTCGAAATTCCTGGATTCGACCATCACTAGTCAACATTGTACTGGTTCACTTAAACAAACACTCAGTGCTCTCTCTCTCTCTCTCATTTCTTTGCTAGGTTATGATGCGCAAAAGATTACTGCTCAACGTAATCTCGGGGTCTCGTATCGCGGGTCTCGTAATCATAGCGGACGAACCTATCGCTCGTAAAGCACCATTGGAATAATGCAGAAAAATATACAAGCGAATGTGTCAAATGAGCATATACCTAATTTCCTCCTTGAGTTAGCCAATTCTGAAATAGATAAGTAAGTGGGTTCTGCACCGAATTAGGAGATGGGACATACATTTTATTTTAAGTGTTTTGTGTTGTCTTTGTCTATACATGGCTTAGGCATTTTTATTTTTTAGAGTTTTTAAAATGTTACGGTCCAAACCCTGGCCTTGTTTCTATCTAACATCGACCTTTCATTAGATAGCACAGCTTCTTACATAGCTTAAGCCAAGTATTAATGGAGATGAGTGTATGATGATTGGCGCGATCTTGTAGTGTTGTTAGTGACTAAGACAGACTTTTTTCCTTAGACACGACTGTTAATTGATAGCCCATACAGCCAATGGAAGAGCGGAAGAGTCAAAGCTTCTTTCAAGCTATTGAATCCAGCATCTCAACTTAAATTAAATGAAAATTTGAAAACCATTGTATCTGATTCCATGTCACCAGGAGCCCCATTAAGAACTCACCACAACGTCATCAGTGGGTCCAAACTCCTCAAAGTAGTCGAGTGCGTTGTCAATGGTAAAACCCTCCTCTGGGAACCCCTTCACATAGACTGTTCGTTTCAATATCTCTTTGCGTCTAGCTTCACTTTCTTCTGGCAATGGCTTGTCAGGGTTTCGTCTCACCTCCGTCTTGTCCTCACTGATCTGAAAAAATATTGTTACAAACATAATATTGCATTCTACATTTCTTGGGAATGAGGGGAATAAATTAATGAATTCATGTTTGAAAATGAAAAAGAATGAAGTTTTAAATTTTTTGTAAAGGTAGCTTACAAATCTGGTTAACATAAGCCTATTCCTATTATAATATTCCTTTTGGGCTACGCTCCATGGGCTTCCAAAGTTTCAATGTTTACATTTTGGAAGAATGTAAATAATCAAATATCAATTGAAGTCAGCTGTAAATACTTTAATTTTACAGTTTAAAGAGCAGAGGTTAAGAGCTCAGAGAGTTATAACTGTATTCAGTGTTGGGGAAGCTACTTTTAAAATGTAGCTAGCTACAACTACTGCTACATTTCCAAAAAAGTAGCTTAGCTACAGCTACAGCTACAGTTCCGAAAAAGTAGCTAGCTACAACTACAGCTACAATGAAATGTAGCTACAGCTACAATTTTAGCTACTTTTCCAAAGACGTTACTTTTTATTCCACGCACATTTAGGTAAATGTAAAATTAATTGCAACTATATTTTTATTGAACAAACATTTAAACAAAAAATGTCAGTATTGTATCTAACATTACTTGGAAAACAAATTATTCCTAGATTGTATTTAATTTGTTGGCATTGTAAACCTAGCATTACAACAACAGAACCAAATAGTTGGGTGTCCCATCACATTTAGTACTTATTTTTAAATATTGCATTATTTTTAAGCATCTATGTAAATTTCATTAATTTCAAAGGACATAGCCTACAACAAAACTATATTTCAAAAGCTCATTTTATTTCTTTAATATAGATTCATTTATAGATGTCTAACAATTAGGACCAATAAAACTGTAAAACGATTATTTAAAAATACTTTTTTGTGTTACAGAGCCTAGCCTACTGAAATTGGAGTGTATTGCCTTTCTTTACTTTTAATGTTAAAAACGACATTGCTATAACTTTTAACCATAGTGATAAGTTACTTGTTCTATGAATAACACTTTTAAATGTCAAGAAATCGTCCTTTATTGTCATTATGCATAGGGTAAATTGTGCTTCAACCTAGTTGGTACAGAAAACAGTATTTTAGCAACTTATCCTGAAATCGGCTTTTAATTTAAACATGTTTGTAAAGTAAAAATAACATGTAACTTAGGCCTACTTGGTTATGTAACAAGTTGGCTATAGTAGGCTTGTTCTTGCAAGGACTAAACAGATATATTCCTAATAATTGAACTTGGGACTTGGTATTCGTCTTAAACCATAGCATAGCCTAGGAATAGTCCTATACAAGAGCTGCTAGCAGGAGCAAACTATGCTATTTTTTCAATGTAAGTTTCATGTTATATGGAGATTTTTTCGTTACAATTATCATGTAGTCTAGGCATTAATAAATCTCATCAGGTAATTTCCTCTTTGTTAATTTAGTAAACCTTTGAAAAATCTTCGTAATCTAACCAAGGAAGGGCTTGTGATGAACCACAATCAACAGCTGAAGCAAAGGTTGATAGACCAGCTTTCTCATTATTTTAAGGTTTGTGTTGGTTTCCATTAAAACCCAAGTTGAAACACTATCGATATAATAAAGAAACTAAATTGATTACTAATTTCACTGTCAATCACTTGCAAGCATTCAATAGCTTCTCTTGTCACCGGTAACGTTTAAACCGTCGTCTGCATCTAGCGATTTTATTTTATCTGACAATCATAGAGTAGTAAATTAAGGAAATGAGAGCCAAAATGTGGATAACACTCATTTAATGGCCTCCATGTCCACACGACGTTGTAATAGGGAATAAAACGGCTGCAACCAGCTGTATGAAGCCAAGAAAGTAGGCCTAATCGTTTTGAAAATCTCAGTTTGAAAGAGGTTGTTTCACGTAAGGTTGAGGTGGTTGAGGTTATGTTAAAAATCACTATCTCAAACAATGTTAATGTAGCGAGAAAAGTAGCTAAAATTCCGCTACAACTACATTAACAATGTAGCTAGCTACAGCTAAAGCTACACAATCTTAAAAGTAGCGTAGCTACAGCTAACGCTACAAAAAAAGTAGCGCGCTACTGTAGCGTCGCTACTTGTAGCGCGCTACTTCCCAACACTGACTGTATTAGCGTTTTCATACAATTTACCAACTAAATTTCAACTATACCACAGTTTTTTATGTCCAGAGGTAGCTACTAATTATATTTTCTTTTCTTATATTATATAATTTACTTAGGATACTAAAACTACTTGGAGTCTACACTTTTCATACTTTTATAAAATCAAAAGCCTTTTTTGACTATTTATTTCATGCGTGTTTACGATTGAGGCAAATTACTTTTATTTCACATAACAAAAAGTTTTGTGTTTTACTACAAAACTGCTTTAATAATTAAACTATGGCGAAAATCACAAAACCTCGCTGTATGTAACTAACTTTTGCTTCTAAAATCAATTAAATATTTGCAACTATGTTTCTTCACTCAATGGTTAGCGTGTACGTAATTAATGTTAATACAATTAACTATGAAACGAGTAAAAATAAGAACTGTTATGTATTATATGTTGTTATAGTAGTTTACGCAACGATTTTGTAAAGATAGCGTTAACGATATGAGTAGAAAATTAAAGGTACATGAGCCTTGGCAAGTGCCTTAAAAATTTCTAAGTGTGTTGCAATAACAATTTGTGCAAGTTGCGTTCACTACTTTACCTACAGTGTTTTAATTACTAAAAAATCACTACTCATAGCTTCTAAGAGAGCTTACGTTTTCATTTATAACCCCTCATTGCCACTGACAGTGATGCAATGAAACATTGTATCAAACACTAATTGCACCACTCAACAATTAAATTGGCTTGAACAGCTGATCAGTTGAAGTTCGAATCATAACAATTTTACTTCTTCTCTCTCAATCCTTTAATCTCATTGGTCTGTTACCCGTGCTGTTATGAGTAAAACTATGCTGTTATGTGAAACTTTTAAATTCTAAGAACTGAACTGAAACGGCTACTTAAAAAAAACCGCCGTAGGTTAAATTCTTATATACATTGATGAATTTTGGCCCAGATTAAAAATAATTAGTAGGGGTTGGTTTTCAAACAAAAGGTAATACAAGTAATACAATTAAATAGAAACTCTTTTTGTTTTACTTAAGTACGCTATGTTGTGCGATTCTTTTTTACCTAATGACTTTATATGTAAGATTTTCAACTAAATAAGCTAAGTATCATTTGAAAATTAAATCGTATGAGTACGGTATTTTCATACTTGCATCAGCAACACAGCACCTCATATAATAATTTGTACTTAAGTTCATTGTAGTTGTTAGCCTCCGGATTGCCAAATAATATTAAAAAAGGTTCAAATACCTGCTATTATTAAGCAATCCAAATTTGTTGTTAGAACAACTAGTTTCTGTGTCTGTGTGACACCATCATCAGGCTGCACAAGGACAGTTTTCTTTCTTCATACGAAGAGCGTCATATTTACACGAAAATAAATAAACATTTAAAGACGACACAAATACGAACACGAGACATTTATGGTAACTGATCAGTTAAGAAACAGACGACGTTAACCCGGCGGAGTTTGAGTCCAGACTGCGGGTGGTCAGTGCAGTGGTGTACGTCCGTTATCTTATCATCCCAGGTTGCGTCCTATCAATCACACCTCCCCTCTCCAGTAAACCGATGACACTGCCATCGGTTTACTGGAGAAGGGAGGTGTGATTGATAGGATGCAACCTGGGATGATAAGATAACGGACGTACACCACTGCACTGACCACCCGCAGTCTGGACTCAAACTCCGCCGGGTTAGCGTCGTCTGTTTGTTAACTGATCAGTTACCATAAATGTCTCGTGTTCGTATTTGTGTCGTCTTTAAATGCTTATTTATTTTCGTGTAAATATGACGCTCTTCGTATGAAGAAAGAAAACTGTCCTTGTGCAGCCTGATGATGGTGTCACACAGACACCGAAACTAGTTGTTCTAACAACAAATTTGGATTGCTTAATAGCAGGTATTTGAACCTTTTTTAATGTACTTAAGTCATTCAAGAAAGATTTTTTTTTTAATAAGAGGTCCAATTAAATTTTGTTTCTGAAGAAGGTAGATGTGTAGCTATTTTATATAACAGGTTTAAAGATTTTTTATCTTCAGTGTAATCTCCTTTGTGAAGCACGGGTACAGCAGCTAGTTTGCTAATGAAAACAAGCAGCTGTTTAGTAAGTAATTCAATCATTTTGTCTATTACGAATGTGTTAGTGTACATTATACTATTGATATGTCAAACTATTTACAATTAAACACCAATTAACTACAATCAATTAATCAATCTATACATACTTTTGATACATGCAATTTTGTTTACAATCGAAATTTACAACTGAGTTGACATCAGCCTATTATTACTCCATTACTCTATTTTTTGGCTAAAAACGCTGTTTAATCACTAGAGAGTAAAAATGATACTTTAGACCCACAAAACTTACATTAAAACCAGCTGTTCTTGCTGAAATATGACGAAAAGTTTTTAAATTGCATTAACAACCGTCAGAAAATACAAGTTCTTCCATAAGAAATTTTAAAATTAGCCGCCATATACAAAAACAGCAGCCTTTAGCCTTTTTTAAAAAGTGGAGTTCATATTTTTAAATAGTTTAGGTTCTCTATTACTGTGTATGTTTTATCTAGGCCTAAATGGAACCGTTTCTGAGAAACGAATTGTGACACAGTTGTTCACCCTGAGTTAAATTTTGCTGTAGACTAGGCCTACATGAAATTGTAAAAAAACTATAAATTTGTTATTTGTTTAGCCAATTTTTTGTACAATATTAATCAGTTGTTTTATTTATCCATTTGAATTTTATTTTTTTACTATTCCAAAAAAGCAATAAATAAAGTTTGTTCATAAATTAGGCCTATAGCTTGTTGACTAACAGTAAAAATAACTATATCATGGCTTCTGTTCAACACAACTGAATTATCTCATTACGATGCCACATCATCATAAACATAGACATAAGTTAAGGCAAAAAAACTAGGGACTCAATTTCTCAAATCTAAATATGATGATAGGTACCTGCACAAGTTCTGAACCAAGCAGAGCTTCCACAATGACAGCTGGATCTTGGGTAAGAGATGCCAACCTTTTGAACTTGAGCATCGTCTCAAGAGCTACCCAACCATCCTTCTGCTTCACCTCTTCTCTCAGAAATTTGTCAGAGGGAAGATTGAAGTCACCAAAATAATACTGCAATAATTATTTCAACATTAAATTGATTCATCTGAAAATGTTTAGATGAGGTCACAAAAAACGTGGGCAGCATTATGTGCCCTGCGTGTAACACTGTCTACATCAGACAAAAAGTAAAAACAAATTTAAATGTGACATCGAGTCCTGATCTAAAACCATAGCCTATTGTGTTCAATTGAAAAATGTTCATCGCCTATTATTCACGTTTTGGAAAAAGGGGGAAACTCACAAAGAAAAGAATGCTAGTTATCAGTTTAAAATCAACCCTTTATGAAAAAAGGTTAGATTTTCCAGCAAAGATCATCTTGTTTGGCTGGCCTGTTTTCCATTTGTTTTTTTTCTGTTTGTCGGAAACGGAACAAAATGTTACAAGAACTTAAAACTTAACTTATTACACATGTAGCTAAATAACTGATTTTAACTAACGGTTCATCATCTTAGCAAATCCTGCCTTGAAGAGAAGTAAATACTCCGTTTGGCAACAAAGTAAGTTATAAAATATCAAACCTACCTCGATTTGTCTTTTTATTTTTTTAGCCCGCAGTTCTGGATTTAGTATAACTTCTGCTTTAACATCTGCAGCACTTTCCTTTGCAGGGGTTCCTTCCTTGTTGGTATCACTCCCGTTTTCATTGACCTCCTGAAATTCAAATTTCAAATACGGTATAGGTTATTATAAAAAAAAAAATTGTATAGCCTAGTTAACTTTTAAAAAACCCAAGTTAGGGCCTACTTAAAAAGGAAGCTTAACTTTTTTAAAGACATATCAGTAAAAAATTAAATTGAAACAAATAATACCCAGGTTAGGCCCTAATGTGAAATAATTCAAACAATTTCCTGTATCACTTAATTTAATATCCAGTATTTACTTACCTCATTTACTTTTGTCTCTTCATTATTCTGACTGTCAGTGTTGGTAGAACCATTAACATTGGCCATCTTAAAATTAGGTTCTGCAACAACAAAAATTTCTAGAATCAATCAAGGCTAATATGAACAAAAAAATAAACTATCACACTATCTCAAAAAGGATAAATGACAAATACATAACAAATATTACTAGGTGAAATCCGTCAAAAAGTGCAGCTCATTAAACTAAAAATATTCATGTTTAGGTTAATGTTTCAAAGATGACACTTCCATCAAAATATCGAATGAGTCTCTTGACGAATCATTTCATTTCTATTTAAAGAAATAAAAAAAAAACTTCAATTGACGACCTACGAACGAGAAAATTCCTCGATTACAGTCACAGAAGATTTTACCTTATAAATGCTGTTAGGTTATGCAGAATTTCGTCTAGATCACATCTGTATTGGTTTTTTCTGTCCCTCTTAAAGGAAAGTGTGTTTTTTTTTACTTTTTTTGTAATAAGTTAGATTTCATGTTTAAAATTGCCATGTTTGACAGATGGAACTGTTTACATTTGCGATATTTGACAGATAGAACTATACGAAGTGCATTCTAGTGGATAGGCTATGGATACAACCAACCAGAAAAGTCAAGGCTATTCCAATTATTAAATTACCTCCCCATTTAACAACATATTTATCTCAACACTCCATGACGGCAGTCATGACAAGTCTGCCCGTGCCGCGTCTTGTGTGGAGCTAGTTCCCGAATTTATGTTAATCGTCTTTGTCTGTCAATATGTCTTGTGTTTTATTTATTTAAATGTTAGTGTTTTTGTGTGTTTATAAAACTCGACGATCTCACAAGAGTGACAAGAGCCCGATGATGAGGTTATAACCTTGAAACCGGTTGCTCAATACAACAAATTTAGGTTCACAGATGGAAACAGGTAATCTTATACCATTTTAATATTCAAGAAGTGATCCTGGACCAAAGAACATCAAGTTATGTATTTTTCTGAAATTAAAAAAATTATAGGCCTATTATGCATAACATATCTTAACTTATTCATCTTTTACAAGAAATAACTTATTACTTACATATTACTAAAAAGCTCGTGTTAAAGTACCTCCCAGATAGGGGGGTAACAAAACAATGGCTCAGTACCCTATGACTATGTTCATCTTGCCCATTGTCCTCATCAAGAACAAAGCAAAAGAGGTGACTGGGCTGCCAAATTCATATGTTGCGAATAATAAATGAAGATGAGGTAGAAAATAGTAGGTTATTCACAGCAATGTAGTAAAGTGTGATAAATGTGGTTAGGAATGTTTGTTCAATTACAAATTTAATTAATTATCTGGTGCAAGCGTGTGAGCATCCATCTGAAGAGACAGAAGCCTACGAGGTATAATGGGATAGGCTAAACGTACGTTCACACAAATCTTTTAGCCTTGAATCTTATTTTACAGTTTTATTTAAGTTTACCATAATTTTTAACGGAAATGAATATTTCCAGCTGATCAAATATAGGCTAACATATTTTATACATCTTTCAATCAAAAATAGCGTCACTTCACTAACTGCTAACATTCATTGATCTAAATCTAAATCTAAATTGATCTAAAATCTTCCCAGGATTTAATAATAGCCTATATCGTTGATTAAAATTATTGACTATAGAAACACTTCTTAAAGGTCCTGTCACACATAGCGAGTTTACTTGCTACTTTAGTCCCCACTCATACTCGCAGGCTTGAAAAACAATTCCAGTCACTCAGTCACACATGGCGAGTTGTAGCGGCTACTTCAGTCTGGTTGTGTAGAATAAATTAGGCCTACTGTGCTGAGGAAAATGTCATGCTTGGTATTTTAGATGGAGGCTTTAAGACGTCTGTTGCAGATTTGCCTAAGTGATCTGTGCAAAAATCAAGAAGATGAATAAACGCAAGTGGGTTCGGAAGTGGATAGCGAGACGAGAGGGTGCTTCATCAATACTTATGAAAGAATTAGCAAATGAAGGCCTCCAATCATATTTTAAAATAGGCCTAACGAGGATAGCTGTTCCAAAATTTGATGAGTTGTTGGATACCTATGGCATCACCACTGATGAAGAAAAAAAGATACATTTTGGAGGAAGGAAATTTCATGCAGGAAAAACTAAAAATAGCTTAAAGATACATGGCAAGTGGGGACAGCGTTGATTTCAAGGTCGGATACTAGCGACTAAGTTACTCGCCCCAAAAGTTGAACATGTCCAACTTTCCTAAGTTAGCGAGTGAAATTTGATTTGCCGGTGAATGCCTGCTGCCGCTACTTACCATGTCACATACCTAGGCCTACAGCGATTAGTAGCCGCTACTCTAGTCGTGGCGAGTAAACTCACCATGTGTGACAGAATCTTAAAAGTGATTCATTACCGGTAGTCAATGTTTCCTTTAAAGAAAATTTTGTCTCACTACGGAGATATAAATGGGATACAGACCACTTAGGTAGCCTACACCTAACGTGGGCTAGTCATTATTTTAGCATGTTAGGATGGGGGGTTGTTCTTTATGTTGATTCGGGGCTGTACTTAAAGTGTCTTGAAGTTAGGTTGGATTAGGAAGGTAAAGTTTAGGTTACAACGAATCAAGTTGTTAGTTCATGTTAACTTATATCCAGACTTTTTATGTCAAACTAAAACACTGGGTAAGACCCTGTAAAATAGTAGCCTATTTTGATGTGTTTTCCTACTGTTTAATTAGGCCTATTAAGTTAGACTAAGTTAAAAAGCCTGCAGTATGACATAAACTAACAGCACTGTTCTTTAACACGTTGACTGCGCGTGCCGACTTTAGTCAGCGTCACCAGCGCTCCCAGGTGGCGCGCGCCGACAAAAGTCGGCACCAGACCAACAGAAATATATTGAGTCAGTGTGAGCTTAGCCTTAGACGGAGACGTTATAATCGTTGCCAGCCTGCCAGCTTAGAATGCGAGCTTTACTTTGGTGTAGGTTGGTACTAAAATTTTCCGTAAAATCCTGTCTGGCAATGCTTTTGTCCCGGTTTCGGGGATTTTTTCTCTTCAACCCACATTACAAAGACACTGGATACGGATCCGTGAAGTGCTGCTACCTTTGGGTGTTTCAGTGAACTACATCCACTCTTGGGGTAACACAGCACAGTCACCACTGCTCTTTTGTGATTCGTCAGACTGAAATATTTGAATGCCAATTGCGTTCGCTGATTCGGTTGCGTGCCGGGGCTTCGCCTGCCACTGGGGAGCGCCTGTAAAGTCGGCGCGCGCAGTCAACGTGTTAACTTTACCGGTACCTTACCTAATCTAACCTACCTTCAAAGGACTTAACCCTCCAAGTGTCCATAGTTTAGGCCTTAATGTCCACTTATTTTTGGCGCATTTGCAAGGTTTTATTAAAATGGATCTGAGAAGCTTAAAACAATGTTAATTCTAATGTTCTGTATACCATTTTGTTTGGAAAATCACGGGCTTCAATATTATATATAAAACATAAGGAACATTTTTTCAAAAAAAATTTTTTTAGGTAAAAACAATATAATTTCAAAAATTTTCAAAAAAAAAATACTGCAAGTTCGCGCTTAATGAAATTGTATAAATTATAGGCCTATAAATATTTGAAAATAGCCACTTTGTTCTAAATTTTATGAGGATTACAAATATATAATAATATAAGGAAGTATATTTGCAAATAAATAAGTTATGGGCAAAAAACTGATTTCAGTACATAGCGTTTAGCTAAGAATGCATAGCCTAACCATAGCTAGGAATCTGGCTGATAATTTACATCAATATCACTACCTACTTCTTCAGGATCATCAACCAGCACTTCAAAACCACTTAAATCTTCTTATAATGCACCACGTATATCACTACTTTTGATTTTTAACACTAAAACAATGATAAACGTAATAAAACACATCAGTCATCGGTCCGGGGGAACCTAGCTGTTTACAAATACACGCACGTCAGCTGTCTGCTACAATATTTTCGGAACTAAAATGAATAGCGCTTAGAGACAGACCTCTGGAGAAAGCTTAGAATATTACGGAAAGAACGATACCTAACTCGATCCAGTTCAATCCGATTCAGTCAGTCATAGAGCCTTCGCCGTAAACGATGTCTGCGTGTCGAAAAATCGACAAGTAACACTACACATAGTGTGCTGCTTGTCGAATTTTCGTCAAGTAACACTGGGAGGGTTAATGCAGGCACGAATTAACATAAAGAAAGACCTTCCGTCCTAACATGCCTTTTCTGGCATCAAAGGGAATTTGCTGATTGTTATAGGCCTAAGTTTGGTTTTGCTAGGCCTAGGCTATGTTAGGTTAGGTTACATTAGATTAGGTTTGAACAAATTAGTAAGATTTTTTTTAGTGCAATAGGCCTACACGTTTTACCCCTTAAAAGAATTTTCCTCAGATTGTGTTTTCCCCCACCCAAAACCCCCGATTTCATAAGGCATAGGCCCTAAGTCCACCGGTCCCCTCGATGATAAGGGGTTAGGGTTGGTAGAATAAGATTTCCGATTTATTTTGGTTGCACTATGCATTTTTTACCTTATTTTAATCGAAATTACTTAAAATCTCATGTGGCTGTAATCTAGAAATTTACCCCTAGGACTACTGTAGGCCTACACGAAATGTTATAGGCCTAGGCATGGCCTAGGCCTGTTCATAAATTCAACCACATTCCTAAGATTACCCTAACTTCTATTAAATTACTTGCTTCAAGCTATCTTTCCAGCTTAATGTTATAGTAACTTTACCTATTTTTTAAAACAGATTAACTTACAATTCCACCACACACGTGTAGAGGCTATACACTTTTATACGAAAAAGTCAAGAAAACAACACACCGAACCACACCAACTCAGAGCAAAAACTAGAATGAAACGAGCGAGAACGAGAACGACAACGACAATGAGAATGAGAATGAGTTGAGGACTGAGGAGATTGAGAATGAACAATGAACGGACGAACAATATAATTTTGGGAGGGGATATAAACATTGATGTTTTAAAAAATAACCCTAATCATAAATTACTAAAAAGAACACTAAAAGTTCATAAAATGAGGTATCTGGTCAATTTCCCAACCAGAGTTACTGAGGAATCTGAATCAGCAATTGATAACTTTATAATTAAAAATTGTCATGATTGCAAGGTGACTGTTGAGGGAATTGTAACTTGTCTATCAGATCATGATGGGCAAAAATTGCTCCTTATAAAAAATAAAAACCTAAGTAATACAAAAGAGGTTCAATCAACTATAAAACGTACAACTCGTAACTTCAATATTCAAAATTAGAATTTATTTAAAAACCTCTTGGAAACTGAGATTTGGGAGAGTGTTTACATGGCTCCTGTTGAAAGAAAATATGATGAATTTTATAGTACATTTAAGCACTTTTTTGACATTTCGTTTCCCAAAATTACTGTAACTGAAAAGAAACGCAAAAAAAATTGGATCTCAGAAGACCTGAAAAATGAAAAAAAAGAACTACTACAATTGGCCTTAAAACTTCGTAGGAACAAAAATCCTGCCTTGAAATACGAGTTAAAACAAAACAAACTGAAATATAGGGCAAAATTAGTCAGAGCTAAAACAAATTATTTTGAAAATAAAATAAGAAAATCAGCCAATATACAAAAAACAGTATGGCAGATTATAAATTCTGAAGTTGGGAAAGGAAATGGAACAAAAAATAAAAATATTACTTTGAAAGAGGGAAATTGTAGCTTAAGTGATCCTAGAACTATTGCCAACATGTTCAACAATTATTTTACTAATGTTGATCAGGATGTCAGTGGCAACCAATGTGAGAGCAAGATTGAAAATCAAAGTCTTATTGAAAATGAGCAATGTATTAAAAGAGGTTTTGATTTTAAATTTATTGATGCGGGGGAGGTGGAAAAAGTAATTAACTCTTTAAAAAACAAACATTCTGTTGGACACGATGATGTCCCTATTAAAGTTATAAAGCATGCCAAAAAATGCCTGAGCCATATTTTAAGTCATTTAATAAATTCATCTTTTGTATCAGGAATTTTTCCAAATCAATTAAAAAAATCTAAAATAATACCAATTTATAAGAAAGACGACCTAGAAACTGTGTCAAATTACCGTCCTATTTCTCTCCTACCAGTAATATCAAAAATTTATGAAAAAATTGTTAACTGTCAGTTATTAAATTATTTAGAAGAATTTAAACTATTAAACAATACTCAGCATGGATTTAGGCCTGGAAAATCTGTAATTACAGCAGCAGTGTCATTCATAGAATCTATAATTGAATCGGTTGATAAAGGGGAGTTCACAATTGGAATTTTCATGGACCTAACTAAGGCATTTGATAGTGTCAACCACACCCAACTGATAGATAAATTACTCATTTTAGGGGTTACAAAAAAATCAATAAAATGGTTTCAGTCATACCTAAATAATCGTTGTCAGTTTGTAGAAATCACACATAATCATGATAACAGAATTACAGCATTTTCTTCTGAAACTGAAAGGGTTAAATGTGGTGTACCCCAGGGGTCAATCCTTGGCCCCCTGTTGTTTTTATGTTATATAAATGATGCTGGTGGTGCACTCTCATGTTTACCTCAGAACAATCTTTGTTTTTATGCAGACGATACAAATCTCAAAGTATCGGCTGAGTCAGTGCAACAAGTTGAAATTTTAAGTTTTGTTGAATTGGCAAACATTGGAAACTTTCTAGAGCAAAATAAATTGAAGCTTAATCCTAAAAAAACTAATTTTTTAACTTTTAAAACAAATCAAAATAAAAAGTTAATTAAACCAAATATCATGTATAATGCAGAAGAAATTGAACATAAACACAGTACACAGTTTCTAGGTCTAACTGTGGACCAAAATTTAAACTGGGATGAACATGTTGATAAACTCCTTTCAAAATTATGTTCAGGACTATATTCACTCTCTAGAATGTCTTATTTTTGTAACCATAAAACATTAAAAAACATATATTATGCTAATGTCCATTCGCATTTATCCTATGGTTTGTGCCTTTATGGTTCAACTACAATAGCAAATTTGGATAGGATACTTAAACTTCAAAAAATAGCAATAAGAATAATTTTGAAATTAGAACACAATGAAACAACCAAAAACAAATTCAAAGAACTGAAAATTTTAACGGTATATGGCCAATATATTTACGACACAATTATTCTAGTAAAAAACTGCTTGAGCACCTCTGAGACAAATTATCACCCATACAACACTCGGCATAAAAAATTCCTTATTTCAAGTAAACATAAATTAAAATTCTATGAAAAAAAACCATCCTATATAGGATTAAAATTTTTTAAGCATCTTCTTATGAAATCAGAAATGAACAAAGCAGGAAGAATTTCATGAGAAAGCTAAAGCTATATTTAGTAGAGAAAGCATTCTATTCCCTGGAAGAGTATTTTTCCACCTCCCCTCTTAGCGTTAGTACATAATTGATTCAGTTTTGATTATTTCCATTTCCTGATTCTTGGTTTTTTATTTAGATAATGATCCAAGATATGCAAATCTGTAAATTATTAATTTAAGATAGATTTAGTTGACACCATTCAATGTACAACACTGTACTTTATGAATAAAGCATATTTGATTTGATTTGATTTGAACGGTGGGGCACACGGAAGATTTCTCAGGTGCCGTTTGACGTCACTAACTACTGACGTCACTAACTGCTGCGTCTGAAGAAACAGACAATTTTATAATTTTTCTATATTATTAAATTAAACTGTCATAACCTAACCAAACTAACCAAACGTGCTGATAATGGAAAAATCGAATGAAGGTTTACTAATCTAAAAAATAGTTTTGTTCATAAAATAAAATTATAAATGCCTAAAATTCAATTTTATAATTTTTTTAATTATAAAATTAAACCGTCATAACCTAACCAAACCAACCAAACTTGCTGATATGAAAAAATTGTTGACAAAAAGTTAGTGCTACCGGCGGGATTCGAACCCGGTACATTAGGACTATTAGCCCGCCACGCCATCCACTACACCACCGAGGCCGATGGCTCTATATCGTATCGTTGCGGTATTGGTGTTCCCTCAAAGTGACGTCAGCAGTCAGTGGCGTCAAACGGCACCTGAGAAATCTTCCGTGTGCCGTTTCGACGAACGGTAGTAAAACCAGGAGGCCACTTCTTCACATGTACAGAAACCTTATAATGACGTCACATGACTATCGACTACTTTTCAGCTATCGGAATCGTGATGGTTTATGCAATCGATTATCGAAGGCCGAAGGGACACGGCTTTACAACGTCACTTATTCACTTTGCTGTGCCCGATGACCATGTTAATAGACTCGTTCTTTTCAGAAAATATCACAGATAATAAAGAGGAAAATATCAGACTCTGAAGAATTTGGTGATGCAACCCTTTGTATAACTAATTGCAACTAGTAATAGTAAATCAAATATATAAATTAATACACTCGATATATAACTCGTTAATTCAAGATTTCTTTTTTTAAGATTCTTAAACTTGCATTGGTTGATATTTTATAATCGACGTTTCCCCAGATCGTAAACAGATTTAATAATTTTAAGTATCTAATTAGTTAAATCTAAATTACGTTTAGTATTTTATAATATTTGTAAGTTAATGTATAAAAAAGCATTAATTGAGTTAGTTTAGGTATCGTTATAGTGTATTGTTATGCTTTTGTTCAGTTATCTACAATTGAACATTTTTATCCTGATAAATTTAAATATTTAGACCCTATTATATAAAATTCATTCAAATTTCAATTGTTTTTTTCCAATTTTCAAAACTCAAACTTTAAAAACATTTTTAAATTGAACTGATCAATTTATGCACTCTAATCTAATCAAGGTTTATTTCCACCAAAATACAAAATTAACAAATAATGCAAGAAAGCAATTATATATGAAGCATAATATATATATATATAAATAAAAGTAATTGAGTAATGTTACATATGAAAGGTCTTATGGTATATAACTAAAATGAGAAAATTTTGATTTATTACATTGAATTCATGTTGCATAATTAATAAAAAAAAATTAAAATGGTTCCTTAACGTAAAAATAAATTTGATAGGAAACGGAAACGAGACTATATGGGCACTAGTGGCCTGTGCGTAGGCTCGAGTTGAATAATATAGAATGTGGTACGATCAAAAAGTAATAAACTATCCTACAAATTAATCGGATTACTACTACTTAATGTTTCCTTACTTATATTATGTCCCAGTACTTTCATTTATAAATAACAAGATAAGGCTTAGTAAGTATAACGTTATTGTGAATTAAATGGAGCCAGAATAATATAATTGGGTAAAACTTATGGTGTTTTATTAAGATGTACTAAAGGGGAAAATGAGAAAAAAGCTCTACTTTTTTCTGTAAACCTAAACCATTGATTAATATGTACTCACAGTACTTAGTCAATGGTTAAACTGTAGGGCCTATTTTACGTGACTGTAAATTCCATAAAATAATATATCTAAAACAGTCCTCTTGGGCTTCTTAAATTGTCACCTTACACTGATGGGCAATATCTGTTAGTAAATCATTCCCAAACATTAACATAACGTTTACATGTCAAAGTTACAATTATTATTTCACTCTCTTCTAGAATCGATAATAATTCCTGTAATTCGTCTACTTTAATTACAGTTATTGTATTATTGTGGATGCTATGAAATAAATTCTTAGTATTCAACGTCCTGTGAACTCAAGTTTTTATTTTATAAGTCAGGTAAATACGAAAACAATTGCAAACATCTTGGATGTTCAATCCAAAGTATCAGTAATTATTTTATTCCCAGCCTGTAACGAATATTATTGTATTTCTACTATTTGATTTATAATGGAAAACTACCGAGAGTATTCAATTCGTCATATAAAGTGTTACAAAAAAAAACTCTTTACTTATTCGGTGCAACCGATACTTACATTCCGAAGAAAAACCCGTAACCACCCGGTACAATCGATATATACATTCGATATTTATGACGTCAGTATAAGGTTTCTGTACATGTGAACTTGTGCTCTCCGTAAAACCATAGAATAAATCACGAATCGTGGAATAAATAAACGTAAAACCGACGCGAGGGAGGAGGGAGACGGACAAACAAAACGCAAAAAGTGTTGCCAGCTTGTTTTTGCATTTTGATCTAGGAGGACCATTGATTATGTTTCTCCCTAGAGATGTATAATCCTTATATATAATACGTGAAGGCAATTTCTACGAAACAATACTCCTCCGTTAATAATGGACGATCTGTTCATAGTAAACACACAAGGGCGTATGTTTTCAGAGTGAGCTCGTTTTAAGTTTCGATAACTGGAGTGGAGTGCTTGATTACATTGTCTAAATGATGACTGTTATTCGTTTTGAAGGTACGCCTGTAATAATTTGCAATTGCTCGATTTCGAGCAACAGGTGCACTAGTCAGTTATATTAAGTAACCGAGGCGAGAAAGAGAGGTTCGGGTTTGTATTTGTGATGTGGTGGGGGGGGGGGGTTCAAATTTTAAAATCGTTACAGTGTGCTAAACATCTATTTTCAAAGTACCACAATGACAAAATTATCAAACAGTCTAGTTTGGTTAGCAGTTTACATTTGTCATTGTTTATTTTTGGTCTGTATAAAATATTAGTTCTTATTGAGGCTAATTTTTAACAAAGATTATATTACTTCATCTATGGTGTTAGTAGCCAAGAAGAAGATGTCGAGAATCATCACTAAAACACTGACACAAACACACTGCAAACTTATTTTTAAAGGAAAATTTAAACAGTAATCAATCTGTACATTTTGCATGCTTCTTACATAAAAATAAACACTTAAACACTCTCATTCTTTACAGAAACGTACACAACCATGTGACACAAGGTTAAAACAAAATCTGTAGACCCTCACAAGACTGACCAAAAGATTCCAACACGAAGCTAAAGGTATTGACCTTTTCAATTTGCTTTCCTTTGTACTCAGATGTGTCGTTTTTTCTAGCCTAGATAGTTTTAAAAATGTGATCTATGCATGGTTGATTAAGGCCCTCCTACAACCTTAAAGAATTTTTTGGAGCAGACTGCTTTAGCTCTAATTAATAATTTGTCATGATATTTAAAAAAAATAACTACTCTTATTTATAGTTTTGTAGAATGACCCCTTATTTAGCTTTAGTGTAGCATGTCTGTTGTATGACTGACTTGTAAATTTCAAATTTCCATGACAAGATCGATTGAATTGCCTAAAGATCAATATGTCTTATGTTATGCATGCCTTATTACCATAACAATATAGGCATGCCGTTGCGACGCTGTCACACGCCCCGAGGTCTTGTACTGAGTTTCATTTATTGAGTTTCATTTATTCTTTCAACGGTAACACCATTTTTACATTGGAATATACATTAAATAGGATTAATCACTTTATAAACATAGCATAATTAGGTAATAAATATGAGCAATAATAAGAATGAATTAGAAAGCAAACATGACATGATGACCATGATGTACTAGAGGTGGAATGGCTCATTTTGCGTTTGTTGTGTGACGCAAGCCTTGCATGTATATATGTTAACTGACAATAAAGGAATATTTGATTTGATTTGTTTTGGCAAGTAAAAAAAAAACTATTCTCATTTTCCTGTGCACTCGCCATTAATAAAACGTACCGTACCGTACCATGATGACTCCAATTTAGTAAATTAGGAAAATTGGCTGTGGGAATTGGGTGATTTCTGAATGACATTATACATTAAGAGATTATTTACTACGAGATTGTATATTATGAGATTATGGGCTACAATTTAACACTATACGAGATTAAAAGCAAAAAGACGTTAAAGAATTGTATGACATTACGAGATTATGATTATAAGTTACAAGAATACACGTTACGAGATTATACATAACAAGATAATATCATTGACTATAAGGTATATATAGTCAATGATTATATGTTATGAGATTACATGTGTATCAGGTAGTGTTATATAGTCAATGGTATCAGACATCAAATCAGCTGAGTTTGTTGACTGTCAATTGTCAAGTCAAGGTTGAGTGTAGCTGAGGTTATCATCATACTGTTGCTCTTTCAAAACAATTGATTATCTTTTGTTTTAAAGAAATTCGACGAGTGACAAACTGTAATTTGGCCTGATAAAAAATAATCTGCTTAATAAAGCCTTTAAACTTGAAATGAAATAAACATTTTTCTATAGGTCTTCAATCTTTTAAGGTTACATAAAAGTGACGTTTTTGGTAACAACCGGATTGATTGCACAAGACCATGGCCCCATAGATTGTTAGGTAAGCTACAACAGAGTTGATATTATATTAGAATACATTTAACGTAAGTTACTAGGCCTATTGCTCATTAGTCTTTTAACATTTATTAGGCTGTATAGGCCTAGTGTTATGTTTGGAAGGAAAGTAATAATTTATTGTACTAGACTAGTTTACTTGGTTTAACCCTACTTATTCGGCCTATTCATTACCGGTAGGTCTACATTTCCTTTTTTCGGCAATTACATATATCGATCTCCGGATCTCACCCAAAATTAAAATATTGTTTTTCAAAAATGATCGAAATTTCACGCTGGTTCCAAAAATGATTGTTGTTTTTCGCGGAAACGGCCTGTTTACCAGGAAAGTCTGAAAAATCTGAAAATTTTTTAAAATGAAAAAAGACACTGTGAGTCCTTACCTAATCAAATTGCCTACTCAAATTGTTTTGGATTTCATCCTGATTAAGATTATGTAATATTTTTATTTTGATTGGACCGCTACTAAGTTAAATATTACCGGAAAAGCGGGCTGTTGGCTACTAGTTCAGCTACCGCCTAACTTAGCGTTAGCGTGGAATGTAGGCATTGTTCTGTTAGGCTAGGTAAGGTTAAGTTAATATTAATAAGATAAACTTAATAATACCCATTTCATTGATAAACTAAGATAACCAAACCCATCCTAACAAAACGATACCTAAATTCCACAATGGTGTATTACTTATTACCTTATTACCTATTACCGGTTCTTTATCTCTTACCCCATGGGGGATTGATGGTGTCATTGAATAACATGAAAAACACTTGACTAAATTATATAAGTCTACATTATTTACAAATTTCAAAAAACATATTTTTAACACTGAGGCTGTGGACTGGACAGGTGTACTTCAGCCCAGGCGTAATAGAGGGTCATCAAAATACAACCTCAAATACATCAATAACATTTCGAATAACCACATCAACAGCATCGGTTGATGACCTTTCTGTGCGATAAACAAACTGTGAATTGCATAAAAGATCATGACAGTCTAAAAACTTACATAATTGGGATTTTACAATTAATTAAAAAACCTTATCTATAGTAGAAACTAATGATATTGACATGGAGTTTTGAGGCAACAGCCGTCTACCACTTTTGTGGTACCATATCTAGTCGGTTTGTTGTTTGCAAAGTGGCAATTAAAATGCTTCAATAACTTTTGATCTTTAATACAGTATGATTAGTAGGATTGGGAGGCCCCTAGCACTCAAAATCAGTAATACTGTAAATTAAAATAAGAAAAATCTTGATACTAGGACAGGCTGCATTTGTCAAAAAACTATCCCTTTAAATATAGCCTAAAAACTGCTGAACATTTTTCTACACCCAAGAACAATATTTGAGTTTGCTGGAGTTTCTTCAAAAATGTTAATGACATTGAATAGAGCTACCGGTACAGGTATTAATACCTATCTCCCTCAATGGCACCTGCTAAGAATAAATTACCTACCTAAATTATCACAACACCTTGCATATTTAATTTTATTTAATCAAGTTACTATGTAAAACTTGCCTCTAGACCTGTATTTTTCCTTCTTTGCCAATTTATGACCTCTCTATAAATTAACTGAATGCTTTACATTTGTCCATTGGTTTTTTTCAGATAGGTTTCATCTTTCTTGACATTAAAGCTGCAAACTAAGATCCAGGAAAATGGCTTTCATGCTCCAATTGCGCATGCTTATGTGGAAAAACTTCCTTCTTAGAAAGCGTCAAAAGGTAAATAACTTACTATTAATATTTGTTGTACCGTATCTAGTTGTTGCTCAAGTTTATTTATTTTGTTACCGTAGCTGCTCTTCATTTCATTTCACTTTTTGCTTCATCTGACAAATTGTCCAAGCACGGTTAAGGAGGCTCCAGACATGCATCATTCATCAAGCACCGAACGGCAAATCGTCGAATCGCGAGTAATGTGGATAGGTGTTTATCTATTTAGTATTTGGCAAGCAAACATTCATGCTTGTGTTTTCCTGTTCAATGTCAGTATTTTTGCGCACATCAAAGTGAACAAATATTTTTGCTATTTCCGAAACGAACATTTGCTCGGAAAACAACACATGTGTTTAGATGTCTACTCGTTAATTGGCGAATAGCAAGACAACTAGATCGGCGAACGTCAAATATTTCATGCTTTGCGAATGGCGCATGTCTGGAGCCGGCTTTAGGCTAACCATAAACCAATATGAATTAATGTACCACTGTTTATGTAATATGTAATTGGCCCCATTGTAATCGGCGTTTGCCATATGCATGAAATAAATAAATTAAAACAGATTCATTATGTAGGCTAATAGGGGAGTTGACTAAATTATAGATCTCTATTATAGCATTGACTACTGGATACTAAAATAGACGTCCCATCTATATGGACCAACTGTTGCCAATTTTTATTAAAAAGAACATGGTTGTGCAAACAGCCACAGTTAGTTTCTAAAATTATATTTTCTAGCTTAGTTAGTTGACGGATGATAACAGTTGCTATAGAGCTCATCATAAGTCATTCCATGAGTTTGACTTGGTAAAAAGGTTCATGTATTTGACAGAAATTAGTAATTTAGATCAGCACAATCTGTCGGTGGCTCATATAAACTACGACGATTTTGTATAAAAAACCGGCGACAACTTTAACATGGTGATGGAAGTCTAGTTGTATAAATAGTTAACGATTATAAGGCTAAGGATATTCATTCTGCATAAGGAATGAGAGACATTGTAGGCCTACTGCTTTTAGCCTGCCACTTTACTAGGAGTTTAAATTTTACAAAAAAAATATTGGGGGGGGGGGGGAGACACTATGACAGGGTTGCCACCAGCCATGAAAACCTTGAAAAGCTTGAATTGTGCATGAATTCTTGTGACCATGAAAAAAGGCATGAATTATGCATGAATTTCTCCATTGGACTATGAATTTTCAAAATCAGGAACAATTATTCAACCAATATAATTAAATTTGCCAAATATATATATTTTTTTTAAACAGTTCATAGAAACCAACACCAAGAGATTACTGTCTGGTCTGGAGATGATTATTTAACATTTTCCACGATCAGAAACAATTGCTTAGTTAGTTCATTCCAAGTCATTTGAGGTTATATGCTGATGTCAGCTGAGACTTTCCGAAGACTAATGGTTCAAAAAATCATTAGTAGGCCAACTCCCACGTAGTTTTTAACATCCACACACATTAAAAACTAAAAAGTAGAAAATAATTTATAAATAAAAAACTTTTTTAAAACAAAACGTTTTTAAATGCACTAAAAAGTAGAAAATAATTTATAAATATGTGGAGAGTATAAATACTTGTAAGATTTAAAACGAAAAACGTGGGGTGCATGCAATAGATAATTTACAATTACCTTCACCTATTGAACTAATGTATTATTATCAATTGCATGCACCCCACGTTTTTCGTTTTAAATCTGACAAGTATTTATACTCTCCACATATTTATAAATTATTTTCTACTTTTTAGTGCATTTAAAAACGTTTTGTTTTATAAAAGTTTTTTATTTATAAATTATTTTATACTTTTTAGTTTTTAATGTGTGTGGATGTTAAATCTATTTCATGCATCTATATCATATTAGGACAGAGGCATGTGGGAAATCTAAGGTTTATTTGAGTTTCTTTTCATATAATTATGTATTAGATTGAATGTATGACCTACCTACTAACTATAAATATATCAATCTATTTAATTTATTGTTTACTTTATAGAATCTATACATATAATACGCTAAGCCGATTTTTGTGAACAGAACTCCTCCCTCATTTTTGGACCGATTTTGATTATTAAAATGTCAAAAGAATTGCCCTGATCTGTAGTTTTGCAAAGTGTTTTTTGTTTTTTGATATCTTTATTAGTTTGGGCATGATCTTCCATCAAAGTTGGATTTTCTCCCATAAGATTAACATGGGGGAATCTAAAAATTTAATCGGAAACTTTGTCTCCACTAATTTGAGAGAACGGCTGGGCGTAGAAACTTGGTAGGGGTGTCAAAAGAAAGGTCTTGGTCTGTAGATGGGTTATCAAAAGAAAAACGATGTAAATTCCCTTAGGGCTCTGCCCCAGAAGCCTTTAAAGATCCCTCTACAGATTTGTTTACATTTTGGCCATGTGGATAATACTTTTTAATGAAACAGCTGTTAATTTGTAAATTGTATTTTAAACAAGACACATTAATTAATTGGGAGTTACTGAATTGTCCAAAAGAAGCATTTGCAATGTTATTTTCTGATTTTAAAATTAATTTTTTTCTGTATCATGTTATGTTTTGCAATATATACCATGACGAAATCAGTGGAAAATCCTTTTATCACAGTAATTCTTAAAATTATTTCTTATTGACCTTATATCTATTTTACGGGTTGATGACTGCCCTTTTCACCATTTTTGTCTTTATTTTTATCATATTGTTTTAGACAGATCATCATAGGTTCATGAGATTATTGTCATACATGTTTTCAATCATTGGAAAAATATTAAATTGTGTAATACAATACAAAATAATAGCCTACAAGTGCAGAAGGGCACGGTGCCTATTTGAGCCGTGTCCATATTTTGTTAATTTAATAGTAGTTTACAGCAACTGGATAAAACATTTTACAATATTTATGTAGAAATATTTGCATGATAAATAAAGTCATTAAGCTGGAAAACTGCAATATACTGCAGACTTTTCAGAGAGGTTACTTCGATGTATTCATTCAGCTTAGTGAAAACATAATATAGATATGTACCTATACAAATAAGAACTCGAATTCTTAGAGTGCCTTTGAATGTTATTAGACTAACGAAAAGGGTTGTGCATGTTTACTAGCGCTACTCTGCAACAAAAACCATTTAATTTATCTCCAAAATATATATTCTTAAAGTGCACTGATCAGCAGCAAAAAAAAATCTATGTAACTTACCCATATGTTATTGAAAATAACACAACATTTTGGCTGTAAATATGGCCCAATGAGTAAATAATATTTAAGCAGCTACTGTCATGACAGAAAGGTCATATTCCTTTTAAACTAGACCACATCATCCTTTATAAGATACGTTGATTAACAATGCATGTAAACGTCAATATTTACGTAACAGCAAATTTACAGTATTTTTGCTTTTTGGAATTGTCCCATTGCTATGTCATTTGCATTATTTGTTGTCAATGAAGCCGCATATAAATGAGGAGGCCCGTAACAGTTTAAGAATAAAAGCCAACTTCACTTCATGTATATTCCACTACACCTCACATTCCGTAGAGAGGTTATATTGACAACTTTATGTAATTGATATTGCTGAGACAACTAACTGACATCCCCTATGTCAAGGAATTCCAGCTTTAACAGTAACCCCACAACAAATTTCTCAAAACTGTGATAGAGGGTTATTCATTAGCACAGAAGTACGATATGAACTGACGCGACGTGACAAAGGAAAAATCAAACTTACACTGTAATGGATATCTCCCTTTGAAGTTAGAACGTATCTTCCCAACAAACAGATATTTTTTTCAAATAAAATCATAGATTAATCTGCATTACACTGATGAAATCACGGAAGTGTTTAACTACAAAAGATCCACCAATACGATTTTAATACTATTTAAAGTTTAATCCAAACGATGAGATACCAGATAATATACTAATAACTCCGATGACGTACAGTATGGGAGATATTTCATTCATTGAATGATCAACCATATTTGGTAACTATCATTATTGTTTTTACACTTATTAATCTTTAAACAATGCTAAATGCTTAAAATATGTACAATTTCACTCAATTTATCGCAGTTAGATGAATTAGCGTAATCCTTGAAAATAACCGTCAATTTCGACAGGTTTCACCTAGTACTAAATAACTAACAAAAATGACATTATTAACAAACACCTTTATATCTGCAATCAGTTTGTTTATCTGTATTTTGAAATGTTTGTTTATATAAATAATCACTTGGGAGCAGAACCTGAACCTCTTAACCTCTGCTTTTTGAGCTGTCAAATTTAAGTATTTACAGCTGACTTTAATTAATTGATATATTTACATTCTTTCAAAATGTAAACATGAAAATTTAGAAGCCAGTGGGGCGTAGCCCAAGGGAAATATGAAAATTAAATGCTATAATATTGCATTGTCATCCACTTGTGAGCTATGTTTCAAATTTCAAGTCTGTAGCTTATCGAGAACTTCGTTTAAAATTGATATCAAAATCTGTAGGAAAGTGAGCTAATAAAAACAAACCCATGGAGCGTAGTCCAAGGGAAATATGAAAATAAAATGATATAATATTGCATTGTTATCCATTTGTGAGCTATGTTTCAAGTTTCAAGTCTCTAGCTCATTGGGAAGTTAGTATAAAATTGATTGCAAAATTTGCACCGGACAAGAAAGCGAGCTAATAAAAACGTTTTAAAAAAGAATTGAATTGTGGTTTTGGCTTATGGGCTTTCTAGATATAAAAGTGGGCCTAAGTACAGTAGGCCAGAATTAAATATGTCTTACCTTAAATTTGACTAATAGAATAGATACTTCCATAATAAATAAATGATAAATAATAAATAAAAAATAAATAAATGGAAATTTGCTAAAAGAAAATAAAATTTTCAGATTTGTAAATATTTTTACTTCCCATAATTAACAAAATTACTTCTACAGTTACTGCAACTCTTTATACAGAGATAATAAATGTATGTTGCCCAGTACAGAGCTTGTTATTTGCAATCAATTCCAAAGTATAAAAATTAAAAATCAACATTAGGATATGAACTGCAATTTTGTGATGTTTACTTTGTTTTTTTTCAGTTCAGACTCCTGGTTGAGCTGGTATGGCCGTTATTTTTATTCCTCATTCTTATGTGGGTGCGCAGACGAGGACTTCGAGTTAACATTCAAGAATGTAAGTTATTTGTAGCTAAGTGAGGTGGTTTACATAAGCCTTCAAATCAAATGCTATTTATTTATATTTTTATAGTAAATACAGGGTGGTTACAAATTGCACAGCAATCTCTTGAAATACAATTCTTCAGTTAAAAATAAGAAAAAGGTCCACACACACACACCACACATAGGTCCATAACACTTTTATTATTTAGTTATTCCCATCCAACCATTGTGCTCAAAATTTGGTTCTTTTGATTAAAATGAGGGTTTGCCACAGAAAATTGCAAAGTGAATGTAAATAACACACAAGTTTACGATTTATACTAATTTTATTTAACCACATTTTTAAACTCAACATTTTACTCATTCATCTTCTACTCCAAAACTCATTATAACAAAATAATCCACATTATAACTCTTAACACATGAGCAGCGCTGTTATCAACTTAAATTAAATAGACCTAAAAAAAAAAAAACTAATAATGAACACAATATAAAAAATAAAAATAAAATCACATTTAACCCTTCCCAGGATGGCCCGGGATATGGATACAGGTATCAAAACTAATACAAAAAAAAAATATCTTTTTTACAACTGTAATTTATAGAATGTTGTAAATGTTGACCTATGGAACACTTTTGTCTAAAATATATTTTTTTATCTTAAAAAAAATATATATATTAAATTCTTTTATTCTTCTTGTAAAACATTCCTAGTACATTCTAGTACATTCCTAGCATTCCTAGTAACATTCCTAGTAGTAGGTTAAAGATGATATAATTGAATAAAAGACCGTTTTTACAAAGATTAATGTTGTTATATATAATCAATGATAACAATAGATGTCGTAATAATCGGCGGATATATCCGCCTACCGTCCACGGAGCCAAAATAGATGGGCAGATATATCCTATAGTCCGGGAAGGGTTAACAGCCAAGAGGCTCACAAACGCTTTCTTATCAAAAGATTTTTGGTATTTGCATTCTTTTAGTCGCTATTATGAGTATCTTTTTTGTAGGTTTTTTAATTAATCAATTACCGTGTGGGTAATCAGACAGATATTTTAGGCACATATATCTGAACCTTATTTTATTATTGGCCTTCAACCAAAATCCTTTTCTTTTTTTTCCCTTGTGGGGTTGGGGTAATAGCCTACCCCTATCTACTTTGGCCTGGAGACCTATTGTAGCACCCCTTGAATCATTCTGACAGCCCTAGGCTTCTCAAGTAGCCCAGGAGCTGAATCACACCCAGCTTCCTTATCTCTGTTGGTCCCAGAAATGACCTCCCCAGAGATGTAAGCCTTCTTTGGGCCAACGCTGGATAGTCCAGCCATAAGTGTTCTGAGGTTTCTACCTCGTTCTCGCAGAACCTGCAGAGGTCTGTCTGTGACCAACCTATGGTCCTGAGATGTTTCCTGATAGGACCGTGCCCTGTTAACACTCCTACTAGTAGACTAATGTCTTCTTAAGGCTCAGCAAGCCTTTCCAACCCTTATCAGTGGGGTCAATTAGTGTTTTAGACGTCCTCATTCCTGGGTAGTTCCTCCAGGCCAAAGCCTTTTGAGCCTTGACCCAGTCTTGGACTTTGGCTACTCCTGAGCTTATGGGGGTACCACAGTAGGGTTCTGGTCCTGACAGTTGGTCTTCCGCACCCTTCCTGGCCAATGCATCAGCTTTTTCGTTCCCCTCATGCCCCGAATGTCCAGGGACCCAAGACAGTTTGACTTGGTTCTGCTCTGCTAACATTTTGAGGGTGATTTTGCACCCTTTTACTGTTCGTGACTCTTAATGTTTTAAGTCTTAATGTTTATATGTCTTAATGTCTCATGTCTCTTAATGTTTCTTCGTGACTGTTCGTGTATTTTTTACTCGAAATACACAAATTAAATTGGTTTACAATATAATTGCCAGGTTCTTGAAGATTGTAGATTTCTATGTTCGATGTACATTATGCCACAAGTGTGGCATCTTCAAGAGCTCTCGTGCTCGGATTCCTACAGCCGCGCCGTAGATCATCCACCGTAGATAATGTAAATAGTAAAATAGTGTTTGTGTTTTAAGTAATGTGATAAACTTTGCTCTTGAAGATGCCACACTTGGGGCGAAATGTACATCGAGCACATACATATACAATCTTCAGGAACTTGGCAACCATAAGGTAAACCAATTTAATTAATCATTCATTCTTGAAACTGGGAATAACAAACAAATTATTGACGTACACCTTCCTTACATTGTTGAGTTCTGGATGATTTTTGTAGGCCATTTCACACCAAAAGCGATGCCGTCGGTCGGTCAGCTACCTTTTCTGCAGAGTTTCTTATGTTCCTTTAACAACACCTGCTACAAGTCAGATGAGGATGCTCAGATTGACGCCTCTAATCTGCGAAGTGCCAGGTGAGTCGATGGAGGCTGTGGGACTCGTTCCAAAACCAGTTGTATTTTTAGTTGGGTTTACAGAGGCTGCATAACTTATACAAAAGGCAGTACTACATGTTCAGTAGAACCTCGATAAGAAGTGCCTCAATGTGTTTAGTGAAACAGTTTTGTTATTGAAGTGCTCTTCTTATTGAAGGCATACAATCAAGGTAATTTCGGCTAGCAGTCGTGTAAAAAATGTAATGGAAGCACTGAACATCTTTATAATGAGTGCATTTCAGATCAACGCTTATGCTAACAAGTTTTTGAAATCAAAATTTCCTAGGGCAGTACTGCTGATATTGTGAAACAAACAAGTCAGGTCTTATTGGAGTTAACAAAAACCTTGCAAAACACGACTATTCTAGTTGCGCTGCCAGTTGGAGGGTTAATTTTTTTTTAATTTTGAATATTAATATAATTAATTGTTATTATTATTAATTTTTCTCTGCTTTGTGAGAATGCATGCATGCATCGGCATTTCACAGTGAGAGATTATGTTCGTTCAAACCAAACGACTTCAGTTTCAGGATTTTTCTTCTTTTTTTGTCAGTCTGCCATGCAAACAAACAGTTCAAACATGGTCTACAAACCATGAAAAACAAAGAGGACCAAATATGAGCAATCCAAAAAGTATTCCGTAGATTATAAAGCAATACTTATGTCATTACATTTTAGATTTTTTAGTGTGCTGCCAACTACTTTGTTTTAAGTTAAAGTGCCTGCTACAAACCGCCGTAGAAATATAGTATATTAAGAAAACTTTGTTCTAAAAAAAAAAGAAAAAAAATTCACACTATTTGTTTGTTAGCCTTATGCATCAATTTGAACCTCACCGACAAGTTTTAGCGAATTCCCCCTATAGGGAATAAGCTATTACTGTAGTACTCATGGTAAGACCTGGACCCGGGACCGATTTACATTTTCTTTTTGAGGTCCCTAGAGACCAAAAACACCATCCGTTCAAATTCATATATATATATATTTATATATGTGTCCGTTAGCGCGATAACTCGAGCAAAAATCTTCCGATTTTGATGAAATTTGGTACAAACGTGTAAACCTACGTTTATTCGAACGAGTTCGCAAACCAGCATGATCGGACTATGAGAACAGGGGTTTATGGGGGGTTTTATGGGGTAAAAATTTGTTTTTCCCATTTTTGACCATAAAAACTTAAAATTTTGCATTTTCTTTCCAAACCATTTTGTAGAGCTTAAAAAAAAAAATAATTTAGTATATTGAAGCGTTATTATGCGCCTAATGGTTACAGAGAAAATTGCAAAAAACTGTAAATTTAAAATTCCCATGTTATTCTTATGGAGAATAAAAAACTGTTGTAATTTGCTTGTTTATGATCATATTTTGATCAAATTTGGAAAATGCATTCATTTCATACTAAACTATTAAAATTTTACAAAAAAACACCTTTTTTACTCTCCCTGTTGCAGCAAACCTAAGTACTCGTTAAACTAATGTTATTTAAATAGGGAATAAATGTGATATTTTTAAGGAGACATTTTAGTGTAAATCCAATCAGGCAAATGGAAATTCGCTTAGCCTGCAGGTTTGCTGCGGCGGGGGTATTTTAAACTTGGTGAGGCCAAGCTGTTGTAATTTCCATAGTAAATATATTTGAATTTGAATTTGAATGGTGATTTTCCAATAACAACCCATAAAATAACGGAGAAATCAGGTTTTTACAAAAAACGGCCCAAACGATTTTGATAGACATTCAGTATGTTGTATTTTTTAAATTTTTAACAAAATGGTACAAACCCCATATCTGGAAAAATAAGGGTTCAAAAGTTATTGTAACTTATGTTATTTTTCTATTAAATAACTGTAAAATAACAAAATAATTAATCAGATTTTAGAAAAGAAAACCGTGTTTGATTAAAATTAGTATGTTATGGTCCTTTAAATCCTGAACAGGCTGTAACATTCCCTCCAGTAAACTGCTGAAGGATGTGCTCAGGCAGACTTCCCCCATGACCGGGTAAAGCTTACCCTTGTCAATCTTTTCAATTTAAATCTTCATATCATTAAAAGAATTAACTGAGCATTTTTTCACACTAGTGTAATATTCTAAAATGTTTTCATGAGCATCTTGGTAGAATGGATAAATATCAGCATATTGGATCTGTCTAAGGTATTCCATTGACTGCAGGTTGCCACAGTTGGTTGACGAGTACGCACAGCTGTTTGAGAGCAGGATGGACCAGGAAGTAGCCATTAATGTGGTGAAAGACCTGGACAGGTTATCTAACTTGGTGCAAAATGTTGCTTCTCGCAGAGTGCAGCCTACAGGTACCACATCAAACTGTTGAGGAGTAGAATAATATAAATATCTTTTATTAATTTGCAAATTCTTATCGTTATGTCATTTAATTTCCTTCCCTGAGTAGGGATGGGCCGGTGTTTAAAGTCTGTTGTCGGTTTCAATGGTTTTTAGCAAAAACCTAAACAAATAATTAGTGATGGGTCGATTCCAAAATTATTCGATTCCGATTCCGATTCCGATTCTGAAATTTGGGATTCGATTCTCGATTCCGGGTTCGATTCCGAATACCATGGTTCAGGATGACAAAAAGGTTTTTAGAAATTAATTATTAAATAAAACCCAAACATTATTAGAACGGAACACACAATTTTAATGAGGATAAACACAATAATAATAATAATACAATAACAGTGAAAGAAAACGAATGAACGTAAACCGTAAAATTAAACCTACAGCACATTTTTCAAACATTTTTAACAATGACTTTTACTTTTAAATATAGGCCTAGAGCTTATAGGCCTACAAGTTTACAATTACCACTCAACGTGAACAAAACTAACAATCACAATACGATAACTAAAAACAAGGCAAGTTCAATACGTATTACTTTTGGGGTTTAATTTGATCTTAAAAATTGACGACTCTGCCTATCGGCCATTAAAATACCCAGTGTTCGAAGATTTACCCGTTGATTGCAACACTAAACAAGTTTATTTACAATTTCACGCACTTGAACATTTATAGGTTGTTAAAACCTTCCAATTCACTGTACAAAATTATATTCCCAAGTCGCTTTTAGGCTAAATAAAAAGGACGATCGCTCTAGTCTCGTTCAGTAGTGACGTTTCGGGACCGACGGACCGACGAATACGAATAGAAGTGTTTTGTTAGACTTTGGTAATGAATGGTAGCTCAGCAGTCGGCTCTGTTTAGGGATGAGCATCGATAGTCGATGTTTTCGCATCACCGATTTTTTCTATCGATTTTCGTTGTTTTTCACATCGATGTTTTTGACCAAGTATATTGAGATATCGATGCTTTCCGTTACTGGAGAGTACAGAGACCAGACGAAAAATTGAAGAAAAAAATCTATGTCTTAGTCCCAAAGGCCAAAAACATCGATTTTTTCACAACGATGTTATCGGTTACTGATAACATCGTTGTACCGATGCAATGCTTCAGTTAGTAGCACGAATACTAGAAAAATACCGGTATGGATCATGAACATAAACAAATGACGTCGTTGGCCCGAATCCTATACGAATAGCATTGAACATATGTTTAGGGTTTGGCAGTTCCTTTTAAGCAATGTGAAATAATGTTTATTTTCGGGCCAAAAATGTCATTTGTTTATGTTTATGATCCATAACAGTATTTTTCTACTTTTCTAGTATTCGTGGTTAGTAGCCTTGGTACCGCTGGTTGATCTAAATCGATGCTCATCCTTTCCTTGTATGTCTTGTGAGCTGTGACGCAATGCTTACTCGCTCCAGTCCAGTTTGCCCGAATCTCCAATTCCCATCGGTTAACTGTTTCTCATTGTACTAAGCCTCTGTATTGAGTTCGCATCTATTATTTCATTTGCAATACGCTCGCTCTAGTCTCGCTGACTTAGTGCCGATACGACCAGAACTTGTTGTTTGCTCAGAGTTGCAAGCAAATCATTAGCAATCTGAATTTATTTTGTTTCTTTGTTGCTTTATATGACGTTTGTGGCTGATTTTAACCAATTTTATGAAAGAATCGAAGACAGTTAGAATCGATCCCAAACCCACGGAGATTCGAATCGAATGCTCGATTCGATTCCGGCGGAATCGAGAGTATTTTGGAATCGAGAATCGGAATCGGCCCATCACTACAAATAATATATGAAAAATATCTGTTTCGGTTTATTTGTTATTAGGCCCTGCTTTGTTCCTATAGCATGATTGCGATGTCTTTGTGATCAAGGGGAATGTAGGTAAATGATTTTGCTGTGATTACAGGCAGTAATGATGATCTAACAAAAAACCACTAAGTGGTAACACTTTCCCCGCCAAGTCAGCAATCCAAAAAAGATAATAAATCATTACTTTTTCCGCCAAGAAAAACAATGTAATGTATGTAAGTTTGGCAACTTGCTGGCAGACTTTTGCTCGATCACTTTAAAAATACCATAAAACTAGTTTCATTGAGCAAGTATCTCTCCCATTAGTACATTGCTAGGTGACAGCTTATTTTACAAAACTTGACCTTATTTGTGCCACATTTCATAAAATCATAATAGTGATGGTTTTATATTTACTGATTACCTCGAAATTATTATACTTAGTTGGACTAATTAATTAGAGAAGTTGATTTGTGAAATTATCCACGAACGTAACTTAAATGAAAAAAAAAAACCAAGCAAAAGTCTGCCGCCAAGTTGCCAAACTTACATACATTACATTGTTTTTCTTGGCGGAAAAAGTAATGATTTATTATCTTTTTTGGATTGCTGACTTGGCGGGGAAAGTGTTACCACTTAGTGGTTTTTTGTTAGATTTTATTTATTTTTGTAGAAAATTAACCGTTCAAATAAAAATACTCTTTTCTCTGAAAAAAAAAATAAATTTTAATGCTAAAGTTGACTGAACTCTCGATCTTCCGGTAGTCTTTGCAGAGGGTACCGGTTTTGTACTCTCATCCTGCACTTTTTCGACATTTTTGGTCTGGCACCACTTCCTGTCTCTCACATAAGGATCCGAAGAGGAGTCACAACTTGTGTTGTAAAGTGGAAGGTCAGACCGGTACTTCTGCCTTAGTCTGTTGTATTCGAGAATGGCGGATTTCTGAGGCTTCACATCTCTTGGGTTAAAGTTAATAAGATGAAGCCCTTCTAATGAAGTCACTCGTGACAAGGCAACATATGATTGGCCACATGTAAATATGGACTCCCCAATATCAATTATTACGCTATTTAATCTGAGGCCCTGGCATTTGTGAATTGTAACCGCGTAGGACATCGATATCGGGAATTGCTCTCGATACATAAATGCGTTATCCATAACTTGAAACTTGACGTTTACTCGCTGTAGGTGATGGGTAATGCCACAATCAAAGTTAATTGTCACTGAGTCTACGTCATCAGAATTGTCTGTATTAAACCTCAACCCCGTTACTGTTCCAATGGCGGAGTTAACTAGCCCCACAGTGACGTCAATGTTTCTAAGCAACATAACTTTAGCACCAACCTTAATAGGAATAATTTTCTCCATACCAGCCGTTCTGCTGCAGTCAGAGTTGTAAGAGGACAGTATCTTTTTAACTTTGTTTTGTTGACGAGGTAGACAGTAACTGAGTCTTTTGCAACCAAGTTAACGACAGGACCACTTATTCTATTGACCATTTCATCATTTATTATGGAGCATTGGTAACCAGTTGAACAAAGACACACAGAATTGTTGGGTAAAGCAGACAAGTAATCTCCTAATAGAGAAAGGTTTTCACAAGCAGTTTTTCCATTAAGATGTATTTTCTTGCTTTCAATTAGACGGATGTCCTCAACGGTCATATTGCCTACTCTGACTTTGCTTAACACATCAGCAAACTTAGAATCTTGAGCTTGTCGCATGTTTGTAGTAAGTTCATCATAAGAGAACTGTTCAGACCAGATGTTAACACAAGACAGAGAGCCAACAAAAGAACTAAGTTTGCTACTGTCAAGTTCAATGAATGGGGAGTCTTCGTGTACTGGTGGAAGTTGTAAAAGGTCTCCAAAGAGCAGTATATGTTTTTTACCAAACCAGCCGTTACTTTGGTCTGAGGTGTTGAATATTTCACACAATCTGAGATTTATGTACATCAATGTTAGATTGGAGACCATGGACACTTCGTCTATTATGAAGAGCACCACATCTTTCAGGTTGGATCTCAACATTTTTAAAACATCATCAGTAAGAGCTTTGTACTTTGGAGTTTTTCCATGCTCAACTGGCAGCTGAAACACTTTGTAGATCGTAGAACCATTGATGTTGTAAGCACTTAGTCCTGTGGGAGCTGATATTGATGTAGAGGCTTGAAGACATTTTTTAGTCCAAGAGCTGATAGTTTTTATGAGAAAACTCTTACCAGTACCTCCCACACCACTTACAAAATGTCTGAGAAATTTATCTGTCCCATCAGAGTTTGCAACAACTCGTTTGACATAATCAAACACTCTCTTTTGGTCGTCATTGAGTTTTTGGTATTTTTTCTCAAACGGCTCGTCATTCGGCGACCAATTGCTGTCCCTGACAGGCTGGGATGCGGGGACAGGTTCATTAAAGGGCTGAAAGGCTATATTGGATGGATCAGCAACCTCTCCTTCTTCTGCATTGATCTCTTCAACTCGGTTTTGAATTTTGTCTCTTGCATTCTCCGATGCCGCAATAATGTCTTTTAAACGTTTGTCATAGTTGAAGGCTTGAGTGAGAAGTGTCCGCTTGGCCATAAAAGCATCTGTGTATGTTTCATGAGACTCTTTCAGCTCATCAGTAGATCTCCAACAAAGAAACATAAGAAGTAATGCATGGTAGTATTTTTCAGGATCCTGAGTGGGGCTGTACTTATAGTGATTCAGTAAGCATGGTCTGACTCTTTTAGTGAGGAATTTGCCTGAATTCAACTTATGCACTTCACGGTCGCCTTTAGGTGGTTGAGCAGCTATATCGTACCATCTCACAAAGTCGTATAAGTTCATATCTTCTAGTTCGTCTGGTCTAGTTGGGTAGTGGTCATCAACCCACGACTCGTAGAATATGTTCGTTGAACTTGGGTCCATACTTCGTATCTTGTCGATTTTTTGTAGTCTTTTGCGTCTGGTCATGCCTACATCCAACCATCTTATTGTTGTCTCCGGGTCCGTGCCGTACAATGGAATGCCCAACAGTGTGTCACTAGCTTCTAAAGAACCACACTCACGGTTGTTTAAAGCTCTAAGGCCAACGTTAAACAGTCTACTAGCTAATGATTTTGTAGAATTAATCTCTGTAAAAACTTGGCCAGCATGACTTTGTTCACTTTTGGTAGTGTACTTTGTGACATACC